TGCCTGTCGTTTGGTTTATATTTTGCATAAATTATGTCAGCCAACATCACCCCCACTTTCTACCGCTTTCCACCGCTTTCCACCGCTTTCGCCCAGCGACAACACTTTAAAGTTTTAATGGCCCTCTGCCTAGGTTTCACTGTATGTGCATGTCTGTTTGTTTGCCTGCTTGTGTTTTATTAATGAGCTGCGCCAAATTAAGTTTAATGTGTGTGTGTTATCTGTATGTGTTTGTTCGCAAGTTTGCATATTTAAATGTTGCAAGCTGTCGCTGTCCCTGTCGCTCTGCTAGCCCTCTCCTCCTCGCTCCTTTGCCCTGACATACACACAAAAAATGTTGAGTCTATACTGTTTGTCATTAAATTTTGAACACATATAAGAATATTTTGATCTTCGCTCGTATCATTTTAACATACAAACTTGTTTTGTTTACTCATTTAAAATGTTAATAACAAATGTTTTTTTTTTTTCAGTGTGTGTTTTTTTATGAACCTTGATACTAGACAACATTGTATTATCATGTAAATATTTTTCTGTGTGTACATGAACAAAATAGTAGAAAGTTCAAAGATGTTACTAGCACTTTATGATTTTATAAACTTTAAACTTGTTTCTTAATTGCAAAAATAATAAAGAGATATTTCACGAACAAATGTAACTTTTTCTTACCGTGTAGCATCTGTCATCTCCCTCCTTTTACAACTGTCTATCTCTGTTTGACATTTATCATTTATAATTGTTTTGACTGGGGCTAAGGGACTTCCGAGTCCGAGAATCTGTGACCGAAAAAGGGGGCCGATGGGCGGAAGGGCGGAAGGGGCGTGGCCGAGGGGTTAAAGGGATTCATGTAACGGTTTTCTTTGTGCATGCATATATTTTGACATTTTGACATGCATTAAATCAGTCAAGCGTAAGCCACTTTGAGCTCCTCCTTTGACTCTGCGGTGCACGCCCAACTTCTCTAGTCGTCCTGTCTCCTTCCCCTGAACTCTTCCCCCCTCTTTCCGCCAAACCAGACCCCTCTCGTTCGCACACTCACACACTCCATTTATCCATCCATCCATCCATTTCATCCATCTCCGTCTCGGTATTTTCGGGACGCCAAGTTTTGGTGGCAAAGCAAAAACCGCAGCCATGTATTTAAATGCGCACTTAAATTTTGAATGCAACTTGAGAATTTTAAGTGCCACTAAATGAGAGAGAACATTCGATATTAAGTATATATCAAATATAATGATGTCCAACTGCCGGAGGTCCATTCACTCAAGTAATGACAACCGGCGGCAGGGATTACACTCCCTTCAGACTTAAGTCTGCTTTGATCTTTCGGTACTTGATCCGGTTTGATTTGCCGGATTTCCCTCTGTCCATCTTGTTATTTTGGCTTTTCGATTTTTGAAGGAATTTACGCACAAAGCTTACACTGTTTTGTCAATGTTTGCCAGCAAATTTCAAATGTTATTCTGATTAAAGGATTTTCAATTCGGATAGTTGGTCAGGTGTTCAAAGCTCCTAAAATAGGGTTTTTCTGAAAGCCACTAAGCTTTAATGCATTTTGAATGCATCACAATGCGCTTTGGTCATACTACAGACACTCAAGCGGTCACACTCGACTGCCTTTGATTTAAATTAACTAAATTTTGTCCTGACTTGGAATTGGTTTCGGAAAAATTTGAATAAATTTCGAATAAAACATTTTCATTTGTGTTTACTTTTGCTACAACAAACTCAAGGTCAGACATGTCGAGATAATGGTGGTGCAAACCCTAATCATACCCCATTTTAAAGATTGATATTTTGGTTTAAATTCGACGATGCCATATCTTGGCTCTTGCCAGACAAGATTTACCATCTATATCTGTAGATCTTCTGCTCCTGGACACTCCCCGTCCATCGTGAATCGAAATTTATGGGTTCTCCCGACAGACGCAGAGATTTGGCGCTGGGAGCAACCAACAGTTTACGGAAATTTATGTGCCCAGAAATTTGCACATGTTAATTGCTACAAAGCAGGGGGTGGCATGGGTGATGGGTAATGGGCGACTGGAGCAACTAACGGTACCCAAGGCCGATGTCCGCTGTTGACGCCGAAAATGCTGCGAGTCCAGAATTTATGGATAAATTATCGAATTTATTTATTTTCGTTTCTCTGTCGTGTGCGATTCTTGGTTGTGTGTTTACTTTCAGATTTCTTTTAAATTTAGCTGCAACAATTTTTCATAATTTTGCCGTTGGCATAAATCAACGATGGGGACAGAGGATGAGGAGGAATATACCAGCATGTTTCTAGTCATTTGTTTTGGCCAACAGTTTTGCAGTCACCGCACGCAGGCGAAAGCGACACAGTTTTCATCTGGCCCCCTCCTTTGAGTCCCTCGCTTTTATTATTTTTTCCTGCCAACAAAAGCAGGCAAGGACCCAGAAGAAATTGTGGCCACGGGGCGGGACGGGGCGGCGTATGCGAGCGGTTTTAGGGGGCGGTGGTTGTCCAAGGAGGAGGTAGTTGCTGTGGGTGCACTCGGAAAAAACCCCTTTGAGGAATGAACAAGAGCAAAAAAATATTTTCACAAGTTTTGTACAAGTTTTTAAAGACAGATTTTCTCAACTATGTGTTAAGATATTGTCTTGAAAATATTCTAAACTTTGAGCAAGGTCCAAGATTCAACTTTACCCCAAACTATAAGACATTTGCAAAATGATATTTATTTTCTCCTGACACACCAATATGTCATTCGTGGTCTTTTGAATTTATAAAGTGTTTTTTTTAAGATATATAATATGTTTATAGGAACGATTGCACTCTAAATTGTCAAATTCTTAGGTAGTTTTCTGTTGTACTGTTTTTTTTTTCAATACCAAAAGTTTCCTCTTTTTTAATTAAATTGTAAGATGCATACATTACAATTTTTTAAGTGTGTGTTCTGAGCGTTAGCGAGAATGAGCGACGATGTCTGGCACAATTACGCCAGCAACAACAAGTGCGGCCACGGGCTGCATCTATAGCACTACAAAAACAACAATGAGAAATAACAAAACCCCTGTCGGTCGTCGTTCCCGTTGTCGGTTATTACCGTTACACTTTGGCGTCTTTAATTAAGGCGTGGGCAGTGGGCGAAACAAAAAATGTGTAATTTGTTTTTAATTAATATGCTGAGGTTTGGATTCCTCATCGAAGAATGCTTCACTAAATTCATTGGTCACACTGAATGACACAAAGCGGTCCAAATGACTGGCTTTTTATTCACTTGCAGATTACACGCCTATGACTTGGGTGCATTTTGTACAAAATAAGTTTTAAAATGTAGTCTGGTAGTCAATTTTTACCCCGAAATAAAACTTTATTAAACCTTATTGCATTTGTGAATTGTTTCAAACATTTGGGACACAGGTTTATATTACATTAATTTATTATTATATATATTTTATTAAGATTGCTTGTGCCAATGGTCAAATACATTTAAATCAGAAATACGTTGATAAATAGTCACAAATAAAAAGAATAAAATCATTTTGAAACTTCAAAGATATAGTTAATTATGGATCATAATAATATTGTTAATATTCATAGCTACAACTTTGAGTCAAACTGGGCTTTGGCCACACTATTCGATGGGTTTACCGTTAAACTGATAGCACTCACCTGATGCTTGGCTTTAATATTTTCGGGATCAGCCAACTGTTGCCAATGTTCATCCGCCCCATTTACGGATCACAAGGAAAACGCTGCAAGAAAATCACTATCCCTTGACCAGTTCAGTTAATGCCACACTCCACATTTAACGTTACGCGATCCAAGCCGATTTAATTAATCAACGGTATTATAAAGCACTATATTTATTTAGAGGATTGCTAATGTTGTTGTTGCTGCTGCTGCCGATTTTGGCCATCAGACAGAAACTGGCGGCGGCGCCGCGTGCACGTGGTTTTGGCCTCTGTTTGGGCCATGGCTGAAAGTAGGTCCTTCGGCACGCGATTGGACTTGACTGGCACTTACATTCCAGGTTTTATCTTTCCGGCACTGCAAAGCACTCGCAAAAAAAGTGGAAACAAAACGGCTTGTAAAATGCCGCACCTTGGCGAAAAGCACTGAAAAATCGCGAGTTGGCTGGATATAATGACTGTTTATCGTTCGCGAATCTCCAAGTTTTTGAGGCTTTTCATGCGCGGAGCATCCGTGGGGCTTGGAAATTGGTAAACAACTAAGCCAAACGGAGAAACATCGATGTTTTTCGCATTTTTCAAATATCGATTACTGGCTGCATGTATCGATGCTTCCGGCCGTTGTTAATTGCTGGCCAAATGAATTTTAACCCAACTATTATCTTAATGTACTGTCTTTTAATTGCAATGCTTTTTTTTTATGTCAAGTCTATGCAAAGTTAAATTTTCACCGCTTATTGAAATTTTCTACATTCTTAACTTTGATTTTAAAAATGAAAGTGTTACCACACCTGAGGAAGGTTTCTAACGGTATATCGGAACCAGTTCCGATTGTGTAACGTTTATTATTGTGCTCACTTTTAAATAAGATTACAAACTTAAAAACAATGCTAATAATTAAAATTACTAAAAACTGTTTACTGGATGTTATCGTTAAAACTGTAATTGGACGAGAAATTAAATTGAAGATAAGTAGATACAAATCATTAACGCTGTTTGAAGATTTAAAAAGTGTATCTTTAACGTGCTTTATTAAAACACTTACAAATATGTTTAAAATCGTATACATAAGTTGGCTAAACAAAGCATTTTTTTATGATTCTATACCATAATTTATTTACCTAGGCTAGAAAAGGGGCATACAAAAATGTAAACTATCTAAACAGTAAGAGGAACAATTATGAAGAATGCTGTAATTAATTCTATATACAAGAAATCTATAATATAATATCTACTACCTAACTTCATAGATCATTTATTTACCTTGGTGAGCGTAACACAAAAATGCCAGGTTTAAAATCCCGAAATTGTCCAACACTGCCGCGTGGTATGTTTAAAAAGGGCGCGCACGGTCGCACTAAAATAATTCGAGTTTTTTGTTGTTGGGGTATTATAATTTTTGGGGGACAATTAATGCTGAGCCTGGCAAAATAAACTGTGGATAATCCCGAACCGAGTGCCGGGGATCGCGGCCATGAATTTCCCGCTGACGAATGCCAACAAGGACACATTGAGGGCCGCCTGCAAGAAATGCGGCTACGCCGGTCACCTGACCTACCAATGCCGCAATTTTCTCAAGGTAAGAAGCCTGCCGAAAACCGCATGTTTTGCCATGTACATATGTATGTATGTAGCTAATGCATTTGATGCCGACGCCGGCTTAAACAGGTGGACCCCAACAAGGAGATCCTGCTGGATGTGGAGAGCACCAGTTCGGACTCGGAGCTGGACTACCTCACGCCGCTCACCGAACTGCGTGCCCAGGAGCTGAAAGGAGGCGCCGAAGTGCCAGTGCCATCGGTGCCGCCGATGGCGACCGCCAAGGATAGAAACAGCAAGGATAAGAGTCGGGACAAACTCAAGGAGAGGCAGAAGGAGAAGGACAAAGACAAAGACAAGGAACGCGACCGCAAGAGGAGCAGCTCGAAAAGAGGCCACGACAAGGTGGCCCACAAAGACAAGGCGGAGAGGGACAAGAAGTCATCGTCCTTGCGGCACAAGAAGAGCAAGAAAAAGAGCCGAAAGCACAAAAAGTCCAGCGGCAGCGAGTTGGCCATAAGCAAAACCAAAACCAAAACGGGCAAACGACCCAGCAGCGGCAGCACCAGCAAAAAGTCAAAACGACGCCGCTCCTCCTCGACATCCAGCTCGTCATCCTCATCGGATTCGTCCTCCAGCTCGTCGTCGTCCTCGTCGGATGAAGACTCTAGCGATTCCTCCGAATCCGAGTCGGATTCCAGCGACAACGAGGAGTCGAGCACCAGCGAATCGGACGAGTATGGCCGAAAGAAGAAGCGTCAGGGCAAGTACAAGCGCAAATCCACGGACACGGCCATGTTGCGCCGCAAGAAGTCCAAGGTGAAGCGGAAGCGTCATCGCGCCGGGGGATCTGGTGCTCCAAACGCCGGCAGCAGCTACCTGAGCAGCCTCAGCGACAGCAGCACCTACTGAAGGATCTGGATCAGCGTTAGAATCAGGATCAGGATACACAGCTGCCTCCCAAAGCACTCGCTCCGTAAACTAGTTCGATTTCCGTTTAGCCGTAAGAGGAGGACCAGAACACCTGCCTGTTCCTCCATCTTCCACAGAGAGACTGCCTCCAGTTGCAGGCCCACAACTTCCCTCAAAACTCTTCCCCGGAATACGAAAAGCAAACACTAAACCCTAGACTTGTCCTAGCCCTTAAGTTTCAGCATAATCTGCTGCAAATACAACAAATTAGATTGTACACGAGGAAGTCGCTTGTTGCGGAGTTTTTCTCTTTTTTTTGGAAGGAACAAGTCCCACAGCTGTTTATTTTGGTTTATATCGCTCATTTACTGAAAGACTCGTAATTTAGGTTATAGCTAGTGATACAAAAACTACTATTAAAGATACTACTATCCAACCTTTCCTGTATTTCAACTTGATTCTCTTCGTATTAGGCTTTTTTTTATGCTATTGCTATATTTCTTTTTAATAATTCTTTCAAATTTAATTCATTTAAATACAGCTTGCGTTTAAACTATTTCTTTGAAGTCGATGTATTAGAGCTAAATAAAGTTACATTATAGTGGACATTCACCTTATTTTTCGCAAAACATAAACGCTTCAAAGAGATTTTGCATATATTGATAATGAAACATCCCGTGGAGTCAATTTAAGAATACATACAATATTCTTTTAGTAAATGAACGTTATTAATTTCCATAGTCCCTATTGCAATGGTTGTTATTGAAAACAATTGCATTTAAAGAAAGCTGGTGGCGTCTGGCTTGTGTTTATGGATATGTTTCGAACCCTCAAAGAACTCTTTATGCATTCTGATTTTTGATTTTATGATTTTGAATACAACTATGCTGGCGCTTAATCTCAACTGTTAAAATCTTAAATTAAAAAATCAGAGTGTGTAAAGATTTAATACATTTTAAGTGATAATACAAGTTATGTAAATTTGGATAGCTACTATAAACGACCGGAACTGGGCTCCCCCGATTTCTGATAGATCCGCAAGGCTTCCTGCAGCGCGATAATGTGTCGCTGCATTTTGGCTATCTGCTTGGAAGACTGCTCGCAATTGTGACATGCGGCCGTTGAGTTTAGGTCACGACTAACTCTGCTGGCCAAGAGCTGTTCATTCTGCTCCTTGAGATCCGCATTCTGGAGCAGCAGCTCTTCGCAAAGAGCGCAAGCGGAGCAGCGCAGGTCCTCCAAGGCCTGTTCCCTGGCCTTGAGATTTTTGGTCAAGGCACGATTCTCCCGCTTGAGATTGAGCAGCTTCTGCTCCAGCTCCAGCATCTCATCCTCTCTGTCGCGTTGAAGCAGCGGATCGCTGGGTGCTTCTGGCACTGCAACCCCCGATTTTCCCATGCGATTCATGGCCTGCAGGATGGCGTCCATCTTGTGCTCCATCATTAAGCCCGAGGCCCGCTGTTCGTCCATGTACTTGTCCAATGCTTTGACAGCCAGGGGATTGTCAGGGAGAGTTTGTCCAGCAGTGGCCACCGCCAGGGAGCTGGAACCGGTGTTCCGGTGTTGGGCATTTGATGAGCCAATGGGTCGCGGCAGTGGCGTGACTATCACATCCTCGTCTGCAGGGGTTCCGTCCTGCTCCTGTTCGGGTGTCTCGTCCTCCAGCTTCTCCGGAGATGGAATTCCCATGCGTAGACGCGGTTGCGGTTGTGGAGGATTGGCCCTGGAACTCCTGGACTTCTCGCCAGACTTGGACAAGTCCTCACAGGATGGTGATCCCGAGCTAGAGGATGAAACCTCGCTAATAAAGTGCTCCATTGGCAGTTTGTTCTTCATCATAAGCCGTACAAATTCACGCTCATCCGGTTCCTTGTCGAACCGCAGGCTCCAGAAACGCTGCTCGTCATCGTAGAACTGCAGATAGGACTCCCGCAGGATAACCTTTCCGCCACGAGGTGTCAATTGCAGGGTGGTTAGCACCTGGTTTTTGCTCTTATATACAATCAGTTTGGAAGCCTCCATCTCGCCCAAAATCGATAGAGCGCATCCCACACGACCCACGTTCTCGTTGCCCTGATAGGCATGCACCACCTTGGCAATCACCGTGTTCCATGTGGAGGCTGGAGGATCACCCTTATCCGCAGTACTACTCCTGGTAATCGGGGATTTTTTGCTACCCTGCGGTTTCTTGGAACTGCCCGGCTGATAACGCAAACTGGGCGATTCGGTCTCTAATGGTCGATCATCGTCCTCGAAGATCTGGCGCAAGTTTCGGGGTCCCGAATCACTGGAGTTATGTACAAATATATGTACATAGTTAGTTACACATTCATATCCAGTAAATGATTTCGGGATTGACTCACCTCCGCAACTTGTCGAAAAAGTCCTTATAGGACTGCTCGTTGCCAATTTCCATTCTGGTAAATGATGATTATGATAAAGTCCTCCTATCATATAATCATACACATATTGTCGTATCAAAAATATACAAATACATTAACTATATTTATTTTCTTTTATTATTGTAGTTTGTTTTCAATAGGGATGTGAGAAATATATCAATATATCGATAAAATATATACGTTTTAAGGGGATGAAAATAGATATTTTTGTTTGACTTTTTCTACGAGAAAAAAAAACAAATGGTATTTCGACTCAAAATATTTACGTTCCGAAAACTCTGATCGGAAATATGTTTGTTACACCCAATTTCCACAGGGTATAATTCGTGTAAGAGAGTGCACATAGTACCATTATTTAATTATGTGTAAGCTATTTAAATGTATTTATAAAAAAAAGTTTGATAAAATTACAACAAATTCTCATCACGCCTCGGTCGCCGGTTGTCAGCTGTTTTTGGATGGTGGATTGGTAAGATCATGAGTTTCACTTCCCAACTGTTTCGCTCGGATGCGCCTTGTGGGACTTGGGTATAACGAAAGATTGTGGCCAATAAAACGCGAGGAATGTATTTTCATCTCATGAGTGAAATTATGGCGTTGCGCTGAAAGCAAAGAAAAAATTAACTATTTTAAGGCCATCACTATACAATTTTTCCACTCATTTGCGTCAAACAACCAACACCAAATATTACATTCCAAATATGGGGAATGGTTGGAAATAATCACAGGTGTAAAACTCAAAATTCATTTGAGCCACCATCCAAACATCAAAAAGATTAAGTTTTGCTAAAAAATATGATTTTTACTCTTCCATACTCATTACAATTGCAGGGCAAATATTCGACTCGGCAAAAAATTATGGACCATTCGTGGTTAAATTATTTGGATTAACATTTAATTAATTGCAAGCTCCTATTTGCACAGAGCATCCCACCAAATTAATGTAAATATGCTGCAATTAATAAGGATCTCATTTACTTGTACAAGTAAAGAGATGCGGTTTTTAACAAATATATGTTTTTTTAATATTCTTTGTAAGTGGATATTGTGAATATTGATTTATTCCCACCTCTGTACAACAGAACACGATCATTGCATCAGTGTGCAAAGGCTATAACGCCTGCGATCACAAGAACTAGTTTTTTTTTTATTATAAGGTGTAACTATCTGGTTCATATAAATGCTTTGTCCACGCCGGTTAAGTGGCAAACGTGTGCAACTAGTATATATTCTGAATTATTTAACAATTTAACTCAATGTGTTTCCGTGCGGTTTGCATTTAAAAAGAAGCAGTCGTGATGTTTATATTCCGATAAAAGGAAGAGATCAATTGGGCTCGTTTTCGTCCATATCAAGCATATCTATGTATGTACATACATAAGTATATATGTATGTATGAAGATGAAAGACATTTTTCAACAGGTCAAAAACATATGTAAATAAAGACATGTAATGGTTATAAAAAAAAAATCAAATACCTGTGAAATTATGCCCTTAGGGAGTTACTGTGAACACGAGACAACATATTTTTTAACTGTGCCTTTTCTTTTGTAATAAATACACACATCTATTCATACATATTCATTACGAATATTTTTTTTATCGCACGCAGTATTGCATACTTAAGTTCCTGAAAGTTCATACAAATCCGACACGCATAAATGGCTTAAGGCTACGAGACGGAACCCCATGCTTTGAACCGAACCTCTTGGCTAAACAATGGATTTGTTTTGTTCGGAAAACATATTTAATGAATCTGATTCATCCTTGTATCGCCGAAATAAATGCCAACAAAAAATGGCTGCGCCGATGATCATCAGGGATTCATCATCAATGTGTTCGGTGAAGACAGATCCTGATTCAGAGCAAAGTCCTGAAAACCCGGATGTGTGCAATATGGATGAGATCGTCTATATATATGCATCGATGGACTCGGCCCCCAAGAATCAAGAACTGGAACCACGTTACATCAGCAAGGAATCGACGTCACAACCACAATCGCAATCACAACGGCTTCATCAGCGGCTGACCCAATCGAATTCGAATTCGAATGTGAATGCGAATTCCAATTCGAATTCGGCATCAACCGCAACGGACAACGTGAACACTGCAATCGGGGATCCCACATTATATTCCGATCGTTGTCTGGAGAATGCGCTCAAGACCGAGGAGAAACACCACCAAATTGTCGACACGTACTTCACCATTCAAAAGGACATCACTCCGCCAATGCGTAAAATTGTCGCCGAGTGGATGATGGAAGTGAGTATCCTCTATGAAGCGGATAATATTATATACCCAAAATGTATATAGCACCCTAACGTGCTTAAGTAAACGCGATTGGAACCTTACTTTAGCTTGTCGAAGGTAATGGTCGGATTTAAGCATGTCCAGAACAACACTATACAGAATTAAATAACGTACAACTACCTAAATATACTAGGTTTTACAAAGCTGTCGTGATCTTTTGCAATGTATTTATGTATCTAGAGTCGGTAAATTGAAATCTTTATACTAAAATCGTGAAAAAAATATAGTTGAATTTATATGAAGTTATTAAAAAAAAAAATATAGGTAGTTACGACAACTTAATGATAGGTAGTCACATTTCATTAAAATTGAAAATATATTGGAAATCGACAATTTTTTTTAACCAAATATCCAAAACAAAATTATTTTCTATGAAATAAGTTTTCTTACATGATCGGGTATTATATTTAATATCTAATGAAAATTAAAATTAAAGCAAAAAACTCCAATTGGTAAAATTTCACATCAAAAGCTTTTAAATTGAACTCGCTAAAGGTTTTGAATAAAAATTGTATTTTATTGGTTTCAAATGTCTCCCAACTGCGTTACAAACTCATGACCAAAATGTTATATGTTAATGTTAACACATTATACCTTAAGAATTTGTTGTTCCAAGCCAGGCCTCTGCTTCTAGAAAAAAAATAATTGATTAAAATGCTTAACCAACCAAAGTCGTTATCCCCTCAACAAAAACCTCAAGCAGATTGATTTTATTCGTAGTTTGAATTGCATCAACATTGAAGTGATCCCTTATATTTCAGGTGTGTGCTGAAGAAAATTGCCAGGAAGAGGTCGTGTTACTGGCATTAAATTACATGGATCGATTTCTTTCGAGCAAATCAGTTCGCAAGACCCATCTGCAAATTTTAGCTGCCGCTTGTCTTTTGCTGGCCTCAAAACTCCGTGAGCCCAGCTGCCGTGCACTTTCAGTAGACCTACTGGTTGTTTATACGGACAACAGCATTTACAAGGATGATTTGATTGTAAGTACTTGTTATGTTTTTGTAGAGCCCATTTAAATTAAGGACCCAAAAAATATTTTTTTAAATTTAGGGGTGTGTGGTGACACAGAAATCTCTTGGGTTGAAATATGTGTAAACAATATATGCTATAATGTATATATGACCACCGAATTTTATTCAAAGAGGTTTTTGTGTCATTTTCTTTAAAACATTATTCCACCTTCATTTATTTGTCTCCCATTAAACATGAGGGTGCTTAAGTTTATATATAGATGCCTTGGCATTATTAACACCTTCTCCTATTAAAACGATTTACTTAATGATATCTTAAGCTTGATGATAAGAGTACTTGCTTTAAATGTATCTTTCCATTTTCGTAATTGTATGTCTTCTTCTGCATTCTTATTTAAAGAAATGGGAGTTGTACGTGCTGAGCCGATTAGGCTGGGATCTGTCATCTGTGACACCGCTGGATTTTCTTGAGCTTCTAATGATGCGCCTGCCGATAGGAAGTAAACACTTCCCAGACATAAACATTGGAAAAGTTAGAGGACATGCACAGGCATTTATATCATTGGCAGCAAAAGGTAAGTTAAAACGATTTTATAGCCTTACAACCGGACTTACTATTTATACTGAAAGACTCTCATAGATTCGCCCTTAGAAGAACTTACAGCTGCGGTCATGAAAGTAGTTGTGTTTAAATTAATGGAAAAGCTATGAAAACTAGTATCGAAGCAAGTTTTGATTTTTGTTTTTATATTTTCATGAAACTAAATGGGGCACGTATAAAAATTAAATGGGGCACGTATAAAAATTCACATTTATCATATGTATAATATATAAAATATTTTTAATTTTGTTTTTATTTATAAATAAGTTAGATTTAAAAACATAATTATTCCAAAACAAGGTGCAGGGATTTAAGCAATTTACATGAAAACAAAAGTTGTCCAATGTCTTAAAGGTATGTTTTTAAACTCTTTATATGTTACTATTATTATGACCGCAGCTGTATGTTTGTTTACCAAAAACATATTCTAATGAGAAAGAGTTTGTACATTTTTGACATCTTAACTTGAAATTTTCTATGTAACTAAGAAGTGTGTTTGCTCCACATCGATATTTATAACTTATATTTATCTTTCATTATATTTTTGTTAAGAACATAAATTTGCCAAGTTCTCGGCCAGCACAATAGCTGCTTCGAGTATTGCTGCATCGATGAATGGCTTGAAGTGGCATCTGCGATCGGGACACAACTTACATTTTCTGTTGAGTCTTATGACTGACCTAACCAGCGTGGAGCAAGTAAGTGCACTTAGAGAACTGCTTAAATATATGCTATACGCTTATATGCCATTAATCAACAGGCACAGGTGCAGGACTGCATGCTACATATGGAAGACATCTTCAAGGAGCACAGTCGAAACTTGCAGCCTTTTCTTGTCAACATAGACCCTTCGCAGATGTCAACGTTATACTACCAGGGTCGTTTTGAAATACATCAATCCCAGCACCTATCACAAATCTCAATTCGATCCTTGCCACTGCCTAAAGCTTCAGCCGAATGCGTTGAGCAACATCAGCAGCACAGCTTTGGAGCTGCGGTGCCTCATAGAACGCATACATGCAAAATGCAGGCGCAGGCTCAAAATGAGTTACAAGACGTTACATTTTGATAAATCAAAATACAACAAGATAGTTATATATAAAGCTAGATTGTAAACAAAAAAATATATTTGATACTACTTTAAAGTTTATATAGAATCACGTTCATATTATACATACCTGTACATGTAAGATCGGTCAATATTGTTTTACATCTATACCGATGTATTTATTTACCCAATTATGTGTACTAAACAATGGGTTTTTATTGTAACTATAATTAAATTGTAAAAAATAGTGTAAGACAAACATCATGGAACTTTAAAATGGATAAAACATTAAAACGAGACTGATTGTAAACAGTAAAGCAACATTTTATATTTTGTATATAAGCTTTTCGAAAAACTACCCAGATAACCAAAAAATAACAAACTATTAAAATATAAAAGTTTTACAAAAACCATCCAATTTAAAAAAAAAAACCATATGTAAAAGTTAAATTGAACACAAAAACTTGGCTTATAATAATTTTAGTTGGAAATAAATGAGGAAAAACCAAATGCTTGTGTACTTTTTATTTTATATTTCGCGAATCGAATTTCCAACGAATGATGGCAGTGCAAAGCACTATTTTCGGTAAAATAATAATTTTTAATACTATAAAGTGGACCGTAGTTCAACAAGAGAGGAAGTAAACTTGGGCAAACCGAAGTTTTAATACCCTTGCAGCTATTGCCAATTGTCTTTAAAACATATGATTTGGATTTATAATCGTGTATGCTTAAAAACATTGGAGCTATGACGATTTTTAGCTCAATTAGACGATTGACAGCTTTATAAAATAGTTTTCCGAATTTAATAAAATCAAAATTGTAATTCTGAAATACGAAACCATTACTATGTTCAAAAGAATTTGTTAAAAAAAATTGTTTTTTTAAAAAGTTTTTATTTACATTTATTTATTTGGAATGAAAGTAAAGGAAATACGATTTGAACCGATTTCAAATATGCATTAAACCCTTATAAGAATCCAAAGGGAAAATTGCTTTTGCTAACTAGTCTTTGAAAGTCAGCCCAGTAAAAATAAAACCGGAACATTTCCAAAAAATATATAGACATATAAATGGTTAGTAGGGGATTTGAACTCGTGTCCAAAATAGGTACGCAATGTTTGATGTTCCAAGACATTAACCCAATAGGCTAGACATTTTAGAAAATTCTTTTTAATTACAATTACAATATTTCTTTATTTTAGGGACTGTTTTTTTTTTTTTTTAATTTCTATATTAGAGAAAAGTAGATTTCCATAAATAAAAAAAATTATTAATTAGAGATTAGTGTATTTATTTTCTTAAAGCAAGGGATTTAACCTATAAATATAGAAAATAAGGAAGAGGTCAGCATAGAAAAAAACCATTAAATTGAAGAACATTGAAAACAAATATTTTCTAGAACATTTTTTTTTTTTAATTATCTTAAACAAAGAAAGTCGTTATTTTAGATTTTTTTGTAAATGTAGGAAAAAAATGTTTTTCTATATTTAAGAAAAAAAATTTTTGAGTGTAAGAAAGATTTTTTTATCTTATAAACAATTCAAAATCTATAACCTATAACTATGTTGTTTTTTTTTTAGTTCCAAAGCACAAATGTGACGGAGGGAAAACGAATCGAACGCTGACTAAAAACAGGCCAAAAATACTACATTTTTTTCCAAACCCCATTCACCATTTCGCCGCTGGGGGGAGTAAGCTGAAAAAGTTGTCATTCATTATGATCATATCTGATGGACAGTTGAGTTATGATGCAATTCTCCCTGACACAGGAACCAAAGATTGTTCGAAGAGTTAAGTTTGTACTAATTTGTAGAATTGAACTTCGAATTCATTCTAAAAAAAAATTTCCAAGCCAAACAGTCAAGTTCGACATTCCCGAGATGAGTGTGCCCAAAATATCAGGTGTAATTCTGCGTGGGATGTTCTTCTTCGCAAGATGGACTGGCTTAGTGTTCTTCCGACTTAAGAATTCGAAGGATAATGCCATGGTCGTGGAGGAAAGCTTCTGTAATCGCTCGTGGCGAAAGTGGCTGATAGAAGTCCTGCGACTTTTGCCCCTTGGTGGCCAAGTCTATATTTTCGCCTTGTGGATGGCGAGTGATGTGAAAATGGTTACAATTCTACAGACCATGCACCTCATGTTCACGATACTGACATACTTAACGATGAACTACGTGCAGATTTTTCATGGCAACAACGTGATAGGGCTCTTAAACCGATACCTTTGCCTCTTCCGTCGAGTGAGGGCCTTGTCCCTAAAGAAGAAAATTGGATTTGGAGGCTCAGGAGAACTATTGCTGATTTTTCTATTTCTCGGCTGTCAAGTCATGGGCATAGTTATTATGGGTGCATTTTTTAAATGGAGCTTCAGTTTTGGAAATATCGTGCTCTGGGTCATCTTTGCGTATTTGGGTGCTTCGTGTAATATTATATTGAGTTTCAGTATCTTTTGGTACCTGGGCTTGGGTGTACTCTATTCCGAAGTGAAAAGAGTACTGCGTTTTGAACTGCGATACCAAACGGAGGTTTTAAGACCAAAACTTAAAACAAATCGACGATTAAAGAATACTTTAAGTATTTTTAGAGAGATTACTGGGGTAGTCGCTTCAATGCAGAGCATAACCAATGGTCCCCTGTTTTTAATTCTGGTCCAAAATTTTAATGTTATAGTCGCAATTTCTTACAGCATGGTGATCTATTTAAAGTACTGGGAGTTTTGTGAATGGGTTTTCCTAATCAACATTGTGCTCCAAACACTCGTTCTATGTTTGTCCATTCAAATATCAATGAATCAGTTTAGATGCATTCGAGAGCTCACTCTCGAGCTCTTCTTCGCCTGCAAACAAAAAGATTGGAACGAAACGGTAAGAAACCATATTATTATACTGTATTATATTGTATACCAATCAACTAGAATTTTTAAATTTTTTTTTAGGTGGAAATGTTCGTCACGCACCTTAACCTTAACGAGTTTAAAGTTCGTCCTTTGGGTCTCATTGATGTTTCCAACAAACTATTTCTTATATTAGTGTGTGGAATAGTAAACTATCTGGTTTTTATCGTAGAAATTGTAATGCAGACACTCTTGAACAATTAGGTTTCAGAAAGTTGTTATGATAATGTTTAAAAAAAATACTATACATGCAGTTGCTTTATCAATTTATTTGTTATATTTTTCTAAATTTGAAATGTGAATAAGAACTTTTAATTTATAAAATAAAGTTGAATTTTTCTTATGTAGTTTAAATTTGATTAGGGGGCTATATTACTGTCACCAACAAAAAGTAGAATCTTTTTTAATAATTTGTAAAATAGTATAAAATTAAAATTATTTGTAAACAATATTGTTTAGACAAATAAGGCAAAGGCAGCTTGATTACAATTTGACAATACCTTTTAAATTACATATTTCACTTGTCTGTAGATTCACTAGTTTAGTTAACGCCTTGCAAAGTTTATATTTAGGGCGATTTTCTTAAATTTTGAAACATTTTTTTAATTTTAGGGAAATAAAGGAAGCAGCAGCTATTGCAAAAATAAAACATCTAAATTTCTATGAGGATTTTCACTTCAATTATGCTATCAATTAATAAAATTAAAAAATTATTCTGAGGTTTTAAATCATTCCTATGGCCAAAATACTTAAAGAAGTTTAAGTTTTTTGTTCTTTTTTTTAATATTTTGATTATTATATGATTTAAGTCGTCCGATTTGATCAAATTTAAATTTAAACCGTAATTCCAAAAATGATAAACTATTGAAAAACTGTACAAAATAAAATGAAAAACAGCTAATTTATAAATTTTTTGCCCAATTGTTCCTATGGCAGCTATATGATATAGTCGTCCGATCCGGCTCGTGCCGACTTATATACTACCTGCAATAGGAAGACATCTTTTGGCAATGAGATAGTAGTTTGCGTAGAATCGGACGGACGGTGATGCTGATCAAGAATATATATACATTATAGGGTCGGAAATATCTCCTTCACTGCGTTGCAAACTTCTAACTGAAATTTTAATATTCTCTGCAAGAAAGTCAACTTACTTAATTTTAGTGGGGAGTACTTATATAAAACCACCAATTAAAGAAAACGCAATAAATTTCATTTTAGTTGTATTTCTTATTAACATACGACTATAAACAAGAATCATTAAAGACATTAACCTTAACACAATAATAATATTTCTGTGTAGAATAGTTTTTAAATAATTTGTAATTCTTTGTCGCAACACGGTTACATCGATGCTAAATTTATTTGTTCACATTTATTTATTTTTGTTTGCCTTGAAGATAGTTAATACATATTTTAAAGTGAATACATAGTTTTGTTTTACCATCAATGTAGAAGCATTTTAACACTGCAATTAACGTTTCTTTATTTTTATATAAGCTACAAAAAAAAAAGAACAGGCTTGATTGCACTCGGAAAGTACAAAAACACACGCTAGTGCTAATTTACATCGCGATCAGACGTTACCGCACTTCTGAATACACAATAACTCCTGCAGGCATGTCTTATTGCACATTTTTGAGTTGCAATAACGCCTCTTTTCCTGCATTTCTAATAACTATAATACCCTCTGCAATGTTACAACAACAAAACTATAAACCTATAATCGTTTTTTACATATAAATACTCATTTTTGAAAACTAAATTTATTTATTTCATGTTTTGATATACTTTAAGAAGTAAATGTTGCATTATGAAATCAATTCGATAGCAATTATAGTAATTTGAGTGTAGAACTGTGTAGTGTGTACTGTGTAGTGTGTAGTGTGCAGTGTGTAGTGTGACACCGTAGAGTTTTACCATAGATTTAAAACCAACAGACATCTTAAAAGCTTCGAACTCTTTGATGGTATGTGATGAAGCGTACGTGCTTGCTATTCGTTAATAATTATTATGCGTATTGTGCTTATTTTTGTTTGAATCGGGAACTAAAGGCATTTGATAACTCATTGACAGCTGCTTGGCCAACGGCTTGATTAACTTGTCCACGCATACTCTCCGGTACATAACGATTAGCGCCCGATTGTTGGATAATAGCACCGCCGACAGCTCCAGAGACACGACTTGAAATGTATAAGTAGTAGATTATTGAATTTTGAATATCTTAGCTTAGCTGTTTGCATTCGTTTGCATTCAAAATATGTGAATAATCAACCAAACATTTATCAAAACGCTTGGAGCTCCTGATTACTCAGCTTCGAAATCACAAACCAAATATCTATTAAAGTATACTTTCATTTCGACCAAAAAAAAAAGGTCAATTTTCTTAGCATAGTTATACATCAGATACATCAGATTTTTTTCGTACAACGCGCCAAAGGAAAGAAGATGTTTGTTTAGTTGTGAATAAAATAAGTTCGGCGCTTAAATTTCTGTAATGCATGTTTACTTGGTTTTGAAATGCTATGCAGAATTGAGTGTGATCAGAAATTAAATTGTATGGTTCACAAGTACAAAGGTTCCTGCTGCATCGTTTACTACCAGCTAAATAACTTTTCGTTTTTGGGATATTTCACCTGACCTTAGGTATATAAAACATACAACTTTCCAAAGGACCACATTTTCCGAAAATGCTAATCCGTTTTTGCACTTTACGACCTTTATAATCGAATTCGGGGGAGATATATTTCACTATAGCATTAACAGATCTCAACTTCGCCTATGCACATAAGTACGTTTTGAGGTAAAACACCAAAAACATAAAAAGAAAGTTGTGTCCCGCCAGTAAGCAATACACACTTATGCAATACGAACAATTTATGTATTTATTTATGCACTTTATTTGTGTATACGTAAACTGGTCATATGTAATATAATTTGCTTCATATTTCCATCGTCACAATCCATTTGAGTAAGTCACAAGAGTATTTTCATGACTTATATTTGTAATCAACATTAAAAATAATACATTTTACATTTGAAAGACATGGACTCTTGAATTTTGTCGTGGCAAGAAAGGGTTTAAAATAAATTATAATTCAACATTTAGCGAACTGCTATTATTAAGCACACAGCTGTATATATTAAATAATTGTATTTATTCAAGAGGAAATCGATACAAACCACTTAAAAAATCTTTGCGAAATTCATTTACAAATGTTGTACTTAATTTCTTCTGGGTTATAAAAAAAAAAATGGTATACCTATATCATTATATGTTTTTGTTCAAATATGTTTTTTTAGCTGTTTTATATTTTAATATATTGATATATTTATAGACATAAAAATATGCAAAGGAATGGACAATTCAACAGAGTTGTTGTATCAACTTAATCGTGTACTTTATCGTTTCTTGGAAACGGGACAGCTTGCAATTCAACTTGTGGAGAATTTAAGCGGATTGGGAATAAATAAATTTTCTTACAGAAATAACAATACAAAGGGTCCAAATCTTTACAGAGAACAAATAGTTGAAGCAAAAACCTTTAAGTATTAACAAGTTTCTAATTTCCGCAAGGCTGCATAATCATATTGCTTATTTTTTATGGGTAGCATTTAGAAATTAGCCTACCAAAGCAAATCTAACAAATCCCAATGACTTCTGATTGATCGGAGGGGTTTTTTTTTACTATTTAAACATACGTTTTGTTTTTGTTTTGTTTGTAAGTTCAAGGAAATACTTTGTGACTGACCTTAAATGTTTTTAACGTTGCTTTGCCTAACATTTTCTAATTTAATTGGGTTTTATAGTTTAACATCAACAACAACACAATGCAGTTAACGAAAGCTATTTATTAATAGTTAGCTATATAATTAAGATAATTGGTTAATATAATATCGTCACTAAGCATTTGCCCATACAAATAGTTTACATAACTTTTGAGCGTATGCCATTGATAAAGGGACATCAAATAATATAATAATTAGACATGCACGAACAAATGCATATACATTTGTACATATGTATATTGTATATCTACACAGGAAAGTAGATATTACGAAAAACATCTTATGGAATTAAAGAAATCATGTGCATCTCGACTAGTTGCTTTTCACATATTAAGAATTTATATCAGTTTTAACGTTTCAGGTTATATATTGACTACAATGATACGCAAGCGATTTAATTGTATCGATTTCCCATCGTTGTTGTTATTTTGGATTTTGCCGGAATAATATCAAAGTTCAATTGTTGAAAGTAGAATTGGGTACTGTGTTGGTTAAATCGTCAGCAAGCTACTTTTTGAAGGTTCATCCCCTAGACGTACATATAGAATCTCGATGCCGACAACAAATTTAACGACGTCTGTGTACGTGTTTTGTTGTGTTGTGTTGTCGAAATACATATATTTTAGTGTTATTCAATTTTGTTGTAGGTTTATTTTGTTTTGTTAGCAATGTTTTGGTTATTATCGTATCACATAGAAAGAGAAAAAAGAGACAACAAAAACAGTTGTATTAATTTTGTTCAAAATATCTTGATCAAGAACATTATTGGACAACTTAAATTTATCAGTAATAAAAGGCATAGCTTGAATTTGAAGTTCAAAAATTACGCGACTAATTAATAAATCATATTTTACAGCGGGGTTACACAGAAATCGCATTCGCTTGTTTTTCTCTTTAATTTCATTTTGCGGTGCCACAGACATTGTTAATCGTTAATTATTGTTAACCACTTTTATAAAGCACGTTATTTTAACTTCCAATTAACCCACACAATGATCCACATACAAATACATTTAAGCAAAACGGGAACACAAAATAATTTTCGCTTAATTTTGTTGCGTTTTTGCAAAGTCAATAAACTATTTATGTTAAGCAATATCAGAATTATAAATATATTTAAGAATAACATTTTGTTTTTCACACTTTTGTTAGATTTTTGTTAGAAATAAATGGTTAAGCATTTGTACTTTTGTTAGTTATTATAAAAAACTTAAATAAAATACCTAATATAATTGTTTTCCCAAAACTCAATATGTACATAGGCGATGTCGCGTTGGCTAATTTCCTAGTCCCCTTTAAAAAGAATTTAAAGTACCAAATCGTACGTACTAAGTTTTAAGATAAATCACAAGATATAAAATGTACTCATTTGTATGCAGACATTTCGAAATTTATGCATTTTTAAATACTATTCAAATAGAGGTGCCACATAAATCGCCTTTCATTTCGGCCTGCCACAGCCCTTATATCTAAATTTTTACCAAATATCTTTTCCTTCAGCTAGAATAAAAATATATATAGGTAAATATTTAAAACTTGTAAAACAAAATATTACTTTTTTGACAAATCAGGTTAGTCAGTTAATGGATTGATATGGGTAGCTAAGACAGTTTATGTGGACCTCTCTACAAACATTTTATGTGAGCCTTTAAAGTTCTTTCAAGATATATCAAATCAAATAATACTAACACTAATCGATTCTCCGTAACACAATGCAAAATTCATAGAATATCATAGATATATATTGCAAAAAAAAGTAAAATATATTGTTCATTGGGAATTTGCCATAATCAAATTAAAAGTAATATGAATTCTTGGCATCCAATGTTTAGCCGACTTTCGAATAAACTTATTCTTTCGTAGTTCTGTGGCAACCCAATAATTTTTTCGCAATGTTGTTCACTGATGTTTCCGATATTGCTAAGTATTTCTGTGACACCCCTAATTGATGGATCATTATTTTACAAAAGGGAACAGTTTCAATAGATATTTCAAAGATATGTCAGTTACGGAACAGTGTGTATAACAATGATCCATATGTGTGTGCATTTGGCAGTGGGTAAGTACAATAGATAAGTGAAGATATCCTGACGGCAAAGGGTACTTACGACGGTAGCATTGGTGGGGGCAGAGCTCCTCCGGGACGACCGCCAGGTAGTGGTGGTGCACCACCTCCTGGGCGATTCGGGATCGCTGGAGCTGGGCGACCTGTAGCTGGCGGCAACGGTGGGTTCCGTCCACCCATGGTGCCCTGCAACGGTACGAATACAATAAATATATTGTGTTTTTGGTAACTATAATGACTATAATGAGTACCTGTGCGGAAGGTGCTGGCTTGCGTGGAGCACCCGGACTTGGAGGTGAGAGGCGTGGATTATCCAGGCCACTGGGTAGCCAATCATTCTTAACCGGAGGAGGCAATGGCTGGGACACCGTTGCCATGGACACGTCGCCTTGAAGCAATTGCATAATGGTTAAATGTGAATTGGCCAACAGCAGTTAACAGTGTTGATAGTTACCTATAATCTGCAATGCATCCTTGCAGGCGCGGTACATACGCAGCATCTCCTCTCGCCGTGTGGCCGACTCGGCGGACTCCTCCATCATCTGGGACTGTAGGTCAATAGGTTGGTGAGGCCCCCATTTAGTAGTAGTTGAAGTATTTTATGGCATTTACCTGATCACCAGATGCGTAGAGATGTGCCAGAAGCTCTCCGTTGATAAAGTCCTTGGCATTGTTAATTATGAGCATCATAATCGCTTTGGGCACCATGTCGCGCGTGGTCTTCGTAACGATCTTCATGTAGGAGTCAACCAGATTGCGAATGGTCTCGACCTGGCGTTCTAGCTGTGGATCGGTGGAACTCTCCTCACTGGCCGACTGTTGTTGTTGTTGACGGAGATTCGTATAAGGTTTGGTTTTTGGGGGGAATCGATAGTAATTTTATGGATCGTTGAGAAAATTGTAAAGTGCAAAAATATTTAACAACATAATAACTAAATCGTGCATTTAAAAATGAGGAAGAATGCTGTAGTCGAGTGCCCGACCATTTGATACCCGCTACTCCCTTCCCAAATACAAAATACGTTTCCTACCTACATATACATTTTATTTTAAGAGGTAGTAATATACCTATATATATATATATATGAGTAGAATGTTAGTTTCCGTTCTGTCACAAAAAATAAATAAGTGAACATGGATTTCTGAAGGCATAAGCAAGATTGATCAAAAGGACAAACTCATTTTAATACTATGGACTTAACTATTTCATTAATTAAAGGCCTTAAATAAGAAATAAAAAAAAACGATTGATCTTTTTGTAAAGAATGTCTTAGCGAATTGAGTTGAAAGATTTAAAATTGTAGTCCCATTTTTAAAAGTCGCTCTTAAAAACACATTGTTACTAAAACATACAACGTCAGTGTTTTACAAAATTTAAAGAGAAACTATAAGACTTTTTAGAACCAAAAAAAAATGTATTTTTGAAGAGTGGCGTATAACCCCTTAATTTTATCAAAAAAATGAACATGGACTTTAAAAATGTTAACTTTTTCGCCACGCAATCCCTTTCGACTTATTTTGTCTTTATAATAATTTAAATCCTTCACCCTTCTCTACAAAACTCAGTTTTAATAGAAAAAATCCTTAGTGTTAACCAATTGCAAAATATTTAACCCTTTATCTTATTAAATAAATACAAGTAGAGCAAGGAGAACATATGAAATTCATTGTCAAAGAATTTCATATGTTCTATTTTTGGAGCCTCTGGATCTGTTTAAGGAATTTCCGAACTTTTGAGTTTCATGCGTTTAAATATTTTCAATTTTAACTTTGAATTAAAATATGTTAAGTAAACTATAAAAAAATAATTAAATATAATAAAAATTGAGTTAAAAAGATCAAATTACATGCAAGAGGCGACCGTCAAAATTAAGGTAAATCGTTCAAATTTACGAGAGGAGGGGTTTTGTGCCCAAGGACACCTTTCGTTTTAGCTTTACCATTTGGTATAATCATTAAGTATTTTGGGATAATGGCAAATCAAAACTAAAAGGGTGTAGCCACTTTTTAGCCACTGGCCTATGTAAGAATTTATAACCACTGTTTACTTAAATTTATGACGGAAGACCCTTGAATTTGTTAAATTTAAGATAGAACACTATAGTCGACTTTCCGACTATGCGATACCCGCTACTCAATAAGAAACTTTAAAGTACAAAATAAAGGTCCCAAAGTCTAGATGATTATACCGACAAACAGGCATGATCGAATCGTCTGTTGAAGCTGATCAGATGTTAATTTAGTTAGTTGGCGAAGGAAGTGCTTCCTCGTTTCAATTGGATACTATACTATTAAATACATTCTACGATTTATCGTATAGTATATAGTAGCGAATATATATTTTTTAATTATGTCTTGGAAAATTCAAACATTACAAACATAAAAAATAACTCAATAAAAACGATTTAAATCAACACATACTTGTTGCTAAAACCAACCGGAAGAAATTATTAATTTTGTGTGTGTGTGGGTTTTTTTTTTTTTTTTGGCGTTTTATAGATTGGTCGTTTTGTTCGGTAGGTGGCGGAAAAATAGAAGAGAACAACATGTTCACAATCGTTAAAAGAAACCAGTAACAATGGAATAGTCGTGTGGCCCGACTATGAGATAATCAGTAATTATAAGTTAGTTGAATAATCATTGGCGTAATAACTACATCAGGTATGTGAAAGCATCGCACAAACCGACAGACAATTTTTTTTCAAAAAGTTTATTCAATTGCCTGGTTGGTTAATGGAAGAAAATATCACAGCCCGAGTATGACATAACACTCGAAATATAAGCCAGTTACAGTCAATTCTTTTATTGTTAACATTAACTATATATTAACGAGCAGTCGAACAAATTTTTTAGCCGTTTTATCTCTCTGTTATAGCATACTCGGGTGATGATATTATAGTTAATTGCACCTCTAAACGAATAATGTTATGTTAAACAATTTCATGATTTATATTATATGTTACTTTTAGGTAATGAGATGGAGTTTAAAGCCTTATATGTTATATTTCAAAAAATCCTGAGCCGATTAATGTATATCGATACCATTAGATATTAGTAAAGACGTACAATTTTGTTGAAATAACAAATTTTGAAAAAAAAACGGGATAATTTTGTTAAATAATTTTAGTAACGGCTTAAATACCTCAATACACTGTCTTTGAAAACAAGAATAAACAAATTAAACCAAAAATGACTAATTAATTAAGAGGATTTTAAAATAATGTATTAGTTATTAGTATAGAAATTCGTAAAAGTTAATACGAATTTTTATTGATAGGTACATTGAATGAAATAATATCGTTAAAGTTTCAAAGATTAACAAACCTCTTGTCCTTCCTGGATGACGATTAAACATAAAGCATCATTATTGCGAGATATTTGGTAGATTTGGTCAGTAGAACAGCAAAAACAAAGAGATATATTTATTTATAAGATAGTTCTACAATGAATTTTCAATTGTTTGTTCATGTAAAAATCGGAGTTGTTAATAATTGGGGATAGCAAGTGTTCGTTGCAAATAAATCTTGCATAATCAGAAAGACTGGAGGAAAATTTCTCTTTAACTGCTCTAGAAAGATTTCTGACCAAAGTTATAATCACATTTATATACAACAATCAGTCAGATAAAGGCACTTTGTGATAGTGTGATAAGAGGCAGTTAATGAATCCAATAAGTGTAGAGATAAACCTTAGTGTTGGAGTACATTATCTTGGCAATATCTCCTTATTGATTATTGGTTTTTAAATACGCACCTCGTCCCCGTTTTCCTGAGTCTCTTGCTTTTCGGGATAGACACCAGCTCGCAAGAAAGAAGCTTTCCACGACTCCACATCCTCGACAGTCTCGCAGGACAGCTCCAGTTGTTTGTAGTCCTAAAATAGCGCGTGTTTAAAAGCGTCGAGGCAAAAACAGATAAAAAACAAAATCATTTATGATACAACATTAAAAATAATCATTTTTTGTATTCCATAGATAATCAGATTTAAAAGTTATGTTCGTTATATTATTTTGGCCGTTTAGTTTTGTGTTCGGTTTTTGACTATCGATCACTGCAAGAAATACATTATAAAACGAAAAAAAAGGGTTTAAAGCTGTGAGTTTCCCAAAAACAACGACTTCGTATCGATTTGAGCGCTTGTTTTATAAAATAAATAGATTTAAAGTTCCCACGATTCTGTATTACTTTTAAAAATATAAGACGATCGATCCCCATGATCGAAAAATGGGGTAGAAAACGTGGAGAAATTTTTGAAATATATTTTTTTTATCTCTTACCATCTGGTACTCTCAAAAGGACTAACCAAACACTATCTGTTTTTTATGGATAGAATTCACTGCTTATTAAGCAGACAACACTAGACCCAAAGTTAACTGCTTTTGATTTGAATTGGACCTGGACATATCTATATATAAACACTATTTTTTCTAAATTTGTGCCTCTTTCAGTTTGTATTCGGATAACAATTATTGCATCTGGGACTTTGGAAAAAATTCATGAATGGCAATTGCAATTTTCATCTTACAAAAAGCTAGTAGAGAGAGGAAGTTAAGAAGCGGATTGCAATAAACTATACATTTTAGGAAACTCGTTACGAAACGTAGTCAGACAAATGACTTCTCTGCTTCAGGATAGATGAATGGGCAAGTCTTGTCTCTCCATTGCTTGTGTACAAATACCCATTGTAGAATTCCCATTTCGAAAGTCATTGTCGAGCAGTGTAGCCTAATAGCCCCATCTGCGCATCTGTTGTGGAATTGTTGACCGACTGTTTACGCTAATGCAGCAACAAATGATAACTATAACAAATGTGAAAAGTTTAGGAAAAATTAATATTGTCTGGTGTCGCAATGCGTCGGCATTGACTTCATAGATTCAACTTTGAAGTGATTCAATGATTATTGAGAAATTCAATATTTTGCTCCGGAATCCGGGATTTTACGGTCCGTGAAGTGGGCTGAAAACGCGATTTCAAGTTTACAAACAAGTTTCGAAAGGTGCAGTTGCTCCAAGGCATCTGTAAAATGCTCGTACACTGCTCGTGGATCTTGACGTAATGCCTTAAAAACGATGAGTTACTAATTTTGGGTCAAAAATATTAAAAATCAAAACTAAAAATGTGTTAGGATATGTAAAAACATAGCTGTTGTACATAAAACATGAAATTTTGAACCAAGAAATTGAATGTTATAATAAAACGTAACGGGTAAGAAAGCTAGCGTCGGCATTTAAAACAGGAGAGGAAGTTTTATTTTTTTGCAGTTATTAACGAAAATGTATTAGTGCGTTTGCATTTTACTTCCCGTGATGGTCTTCACAGGAAAAAAATGCGTTCGAAAAGGTAGTAGTTAGCTTTTACACTAAGCGAAAATGAGCGTGGGAAATGGTCATCAAAATTTTATAAATCTCAAGAGATCCGTTTAAGTTCGAATAAAAAGCAGATATCAGGACAGGCAAGGAAATAAAATTCAATATCATAAATCAGCTATATGTAGCAAATTCTACCTGGTATAGGAAATTAGACATCTCGGATTCTAAAACTTGATCTGGCTGCACATAAAATAACTTCATGCTACAAATAAATCGCATAGAAAAAGGCAGTCGGACTTGCCTTTATCAATTATATACATACGTGCATTTTTAAAACGAAATAATCTTTAATTTTCCTCACATGTTTGGAACTTTTAATGCCAAAAACACTCCTTGGATTCGAATGAAGGACACGTTTACTGCGTTCAGTCGGACTTGCCTTTATCAAAGATATACATACGTATTATCACCTGTTTGGGATTTTAAATGGCAAAAACACCACTTGACTTCCAATGAAGGACACATTTACTGCGTTTTAACTAAAATTGTAATACCCTCTCAAATAGTAATCACTATCTATCTGCTAAAAAAAAACAATGAATAGAGCGTATGTGCAAATAACAAATACAGTACGAAAAACGAATTGCGCACATTTACTGCCTCTACAAAATGACATGGTGGTCAAATATTTACTATAAATGGAAACGGATGAAGGAGGAATTCATTGTTCGTGACAAATTTCCCCGAAAAAACTGTCAATGCTTATTATTATTTTAAACATAAATAATAATAAGCTAGAAGAAGCTAGATAAATAACAAATGTCGATGTCCTCAGATTACTAAAAAAAAAAGGTGTCAAGACCTACAAAATGAGTACAGTCCATAAATTTATATAAAATTCACATAAATTACATCTTTCAGATCATTACTCTCAAAGCTTCTTCAAGTGTATGTTTTATCCTGCTAATGAGCAAAAATGGATCTCGAAAATCGTTAGATCATCAGATTTCAGACAAATTCACCATTATCTAACAGAAAGAAAGCTATACCATAACGATTTTCGAACGAACTTAATGTTAATTCGTGTGTGCGTTTTTGAAACTTTTGCCAAGTTTCTAGAAAACTCAATTTTCTGACTAATGCTTTGAAGTGTATAAGCTTTAAGTACAATTAATTGATTGAATAATGGTGTGTGACTAGTTTTGGCGCGATTCATTATGTATCAAAAAGTGTAGTGAACTTTGCAGCAAGCTTATCAAGCATCACAAAATAAAAAGGCAAAAGGAGTTTACGACATAGCAAACTCCTTTGCCTTCAATTTGACTTAAATGTTGATAAAAACATAGTAATTTTTATATTATACAAAAAAATAATTAATTGATCTCTTGCCCTATTTAACCAAAGGATTCAAATTGGGATTGGTATACAATGGAAATTTGAATTATTTTCAAAAATATCGCAAAAATTACGTTTTGTTGTTTTAGTTGTTTAGTTATTTTGATTGAAAGTTTTTCTCTGGTTTTGGTTTTTGTTTCTGAAATCATTTAAAACTCATTTTTTTGTATGTTAACAAAAATTACTAACCTTATAAACATTACGTCCATCGGGACTAAATAAAGCAAATGTAACACGTCTAGACATTGACATAAATCCCTGTTCAATATCACGCAATTTTAAACCATCCAACGGCAGCATAAATTTCTTTTCTTTCTCATCCTCGTCCTTGTACCAGGAGATACTCTCGGATGTTAACACAAACCAATAGGGACGCGATCCACCTGCAAAAACACACATAAAACTCAATAAATGCCCAGGCGAGTAATGCTGTTAACTATAACAAATCTGCAAATCTGCACAAGCACATTTAAATACCGAATACCAACTAAATGAACTGAACGATTTATTACAGACATTGCACACACATTTCCCTATCAAGTAGGCTGAATCTTGTGGCTAGATTGTTGTACATACCTTTCATGATACCAAGGTTTTGTATGACCATGTGACCCTTGCGAATAACTTGGTTGCCAAGCTGACGAGTGCCAGTTTTATTGGCATTCTCTGATTTGTTTTGAGCGCTATAAACAAACAAAGCAAACAGAATCGGTTAAGAAATAAATAGATAGCAAACTAATAGTAGCTGTTAATACACACTTGGCGAAACCAATGAAATCCTCATGGTTGGTGTTCATGTAGGCCAGCTCAAAATCGATAAGCAGAAGGATTTGTTCCTTGCAACTGTGCTCGCGTTGGCGAACATGTGTTGTGATAATACGTTCTGTTTCCTCGCGTAAACGTGGGTATCGACTCATCTGTTTCGAATGATCAATAAACATTAGCTATGAGGGTATGCCTTAAATCAAATTAAATAAGTCAACCTACTTTAGCTGTGCACATGCGCACAACCACCGAAAGTTCCTGCACGACTAGATCGACACACTTTATAACCGGCTCCTTGAGCAACGCAATTTGCCTTTTAACAATGGCCTCGAACGCCATGTCGGGTGTGAAGAGGCCAACGCGAATACCGTGAATGTTTCGAATTGCAAATGAGATCTCTCGTCGTAATTCCTTTTCATCGCATGCCATCTTAACTATCTCGAAGCGAAGTCTAAAACGGACAAAGTGTTGTGTTATGATATAATTTAAATATAGCATAAAGTAAGCTCTAGTGAAACTTGCCGCTCATGGAAAATGCGATTGATCTTGGCGCCACCTGAGAGCTCATTTGTGTTGACCAAAGCCGAGCCACTGCCTTCAATTGTTCGCTCAAAGTCGGACTGCAGCTGCTGAATCATTCTGTGCGGAGTAAATGTACACATTATCCAACAACAGTAATACAGCCAAATTGATTTATACATACTGGAGCATAGCCTTTGTCTTGATGCTGGCATCGCCTGGCTGAAAGTGTTTGAACTCTTCAACCTCCTTCTCCAAGGTGAGCATCTGCTTTTGCAACTTGTCTCGCAGGCCAGGTAACGTATCCCGTATGTGGTTAGTGAGTTGTTGGTTGAGGACCCTTTGCAAGTAGGGAGTTCCAAGACGATCGGCCATGTGACGATAGGATGGATGGCTCAAGAAGAACTTGCGCTCGGCGGCAAGAGCCTGATGGATATCCTTGCGTCCCTCGATATCCTTCTGTGAGCGATTCACCACGCCAATGTAGCCACGTCGCAGGGGAAGCAGCTTGTTCTCGAGAATGTCACGGGCATCGGTGCCCTCGTCCATAAGATCGAGCTTTGTTATCACACCGATGGTGCGCACTCCCTGCGGATCCACCTCCTTTGCCAGCTTGAGCGCATCCGAGTTGGCCAGATCGGTGTTGGCCGGGGTCACAGCCAGAATTAAGCAAGTCTCTTTGCGAATAAATTGGAATATCATCTGCTTAATTTGCTGCTCAATGTCCACTGGCTGATCGCCGATTGCCACCTTTGTTAGGCCTGGCAAATCAATCAGAGTCAGATTGAGAACATGCGGCGAATACACGCGCAAATTAATTGGAATGTTTGAAATGCCTTTGTTACTTCCGGTCACACGATCCGTTTCATCTTCGATCTCTTTTCTGATCTCATCAAAGCTTGTAAACTTTTTGCCTTTGCAGTGAAGGAACTCGCCATGCTCTGGAGACAAATTAAATATGAGCAATATAAAACAACGAAATCGAGTGTGTGATCAACTTACCTGTAACTCCATTGATCAGTTGCAATATTAGAGGTCTACGGGTCACAATACCAGAGCCTCGGGGCAAGAAATCTCTGCAAAAATTATAGACAAATTATTGAAAGAGATATTTATGGGCTTACTTATTTAACTAATCTAGACCCTACTATTTGGGCCCTTATTGTTAACACAATAAGTATGGTCTATTATTTAATCAACTGTTGAGATTTAAGAAACGATTTTGAATTTGCAGGTTTTCAAAACATTTGTTTTTATTGCTAAATAAGAAATGCTTAAAGCAATAACATGTTATTCGTTATTGGCTGGATACTCTTGTTCATATGAATCTGATATAATCTCAAATAATAACCTGAGCTGAAGGCCCTAATAATTTTAGTTACTGGTTAGCTCATAATAACTAAATAAATAAAAAAAATCTCAAATAATCGTTATATATTTTTTTCAATTTGAAATAAACGTGTTTTAGGATTTTTGATTATAAGAATATAGAAAGTTTGCATAAGATTAAACCACTGAATCGAAGGCTTTTCTTATAATCTATGCAAATCTTGTATAAATCGGCTTTAGTAGTGTGGTTATAAAATGCTTAAGAATTCGAGGACAAGAAAACTAAGGATTTTTTCATCAAAATGAATGTGTTATTTTATTTTTAAAACTTAGCAATAGCTTAAATACTCTATGATAATTTTTAATATTACAATATTAAAACCTAAAGGTTAGCCTTCCATATCCTGTTGCTATAATATAGTCAATATAGCTATCATTAATGAGGCAAAAAAAAGATTTTGGTTTTGCCGAAACTGGCTTCCTCTCTCTTCTCTGTTTGATTGGTCTGTATGTAATATGGGTATAGGAAACCACCCTAATTGACATACATACAATACAAGTGTATAAACACGGCGCATGCGAATTCAATCTGGACTATTTTGAACATTGTGAGCTTATGTAAGCACAAAATGTACATGGTTTAATGCAGTTTGTAAGTTTATACATATATCGATGATGGTTATATTTATTTCAGCATTTTCAGCAATATTTCAAATATGCATAAACTTGTTACCAAACCATTTCATATGTATGCGGTTTCTTGGCCATGAAATACAAAGTTTGTATCAGGTAAACCCATACCCCTATATAGAATATCTTATTATTTTTAACGATCCGAATTTGTTGCGAAGCGAGAAAGTAAAGCGTGCAGCAAAAGAAGCATTTATGTTAGCGTACAATCATTTGCCTTATCTATATAAGGGCGTAAGCCATTGTTTTCATTATGTTTGTATTTAGAGTGGACACTCGCCAACAAAGAAAAATGAGAGACAGCGCAGGCATGTAGATACAAATGAGAGCTGCGACACAAGTAACGGTCGTATTGCGTATTGATACATACATTTTAGATTTTTGTGTTAACAAATTCGATATTTGGCTCAAATCCGTGCATTGTATATCTTTGACCTTTGGCTTAAATGTTAGGCATGCACTCTCAAGAAAGATACATTTTCTTATCAGCTTAATTAGGTTAACGCCGCTGATAACAAATATTTGGCCATTACTCACCACCCACTTATGTACGGGGGTATTTCTATGTGCACCTGTTTGAAATTCAACGATTATTGATTGCTGAGTTCTTATCAATGAACAAAAGTACCCAGAAAGATGGTTTCAAACTGATTCATGTAATATGTGATTTTCTACACAAACTCTTTGCCTGGACTAAAATAATCAATTGATTCATTTTCGTACAGTTTTCGGACAAAGTTTAACCCGGACCAGAGAAAAATCGATTTGCTCCAGCTCTTCAGCAATTAAATGAAAAAAAAAATGATAAAAATAAACCATTGAACATTATTACATATATGTATGTACGTTTACTCACTTGCCAACGAAGTTCTCCAAAACAGAACTTTTGCCAGCTGATTGACCGCCGACCACCGCGATCTGCGGCAGATCCAATTGCATGTGCACGCCAAGCGATGTGAACGCATCTTGCAGCTTATTTACAATCGTTATAAGGCTATCCATTTTCACAATTTGTATAGATTAGGTTCTGTGATTTAGATCGAAATCGAACTGCGCGACGGACGTCTATTCCTGCCTCGTCCAGTTGTTTTGTGTTTTAATCTCTGCGCTCAGCGTTCAGCGTTCAGCGTTTTCTGCACCGCACACTTCTGCAATTGCAATACAGCAGTATTCTTGTTAACAAACTACATATGTAATTCTCTACAATGGGAATTTCGATGTTCGCCCGCGTCGTCGTCGTCCTTTCACTCTGACACTTTCCTTTTCGTACAACGTCAACAATGACAGTTTTGCAAACTCGAGATAAAAAAGAAATAAATATGCGTAAGCCGTGGGCAGTCGCTCATCCAATGGCTCGGCTCGGCTCACATGTAGTTACTCATTCTCCCACAATTAAACGCGATTCGATGATTACTACTACAAAAAATTTCATGCTAGGTATAATAAGACTAAACTAATAGAATTGGTTGGGTCACTGGCAAAAATGTTTATCGACATTTACACAAAAAGAATTTATGTATGTACATATACACTCCGCAAGTTTGAAAAGACCCAAAGAAAATTGTTATCGACTTTTCAATCGTCACTTCTTTTTTAGGCGTAACAGTGTGGGTGCAAATGTTATGTTTATCGCCCAAAGCACAACAAAAATAACAATTGATCTAGACTTTAAGCAAATATATTTTTTGTTTGGCTCTAATCATCGCATGGGCGACACGATTGTTGGTCGCAACAAATATCTTTATTTTCGAGCAAACCGACTATTATCACCACCACTCTCGCTTCCAAAAATCGTACAATGGATTAGAGATGGAGAAACGTCGATACCAACATCGATGTCATCGATGTTTTCAAAACATCGGTTACTTCGATGTTTGGCGGGGCATCATCGATATTTTCCACCTCTATAAAAGATTTTAGTCAATTGAAACGACTCTCCTCTCATTAATTTCCTAACAGAAATGTTAAGCCAATTGACATAGGTAACTTTTCTGCAACAGCGACTTTTTCTTCCATTAGAAGTACTTACATGTGCTAGAAAGAGACGGGGAAGAGGCGTTTTAAGTAGTAGTCGACTTTAAGTGCTGTTGTAACTCAGGATTTGTAAAGTGTATTGACGATTTTCACTTGGCTTTCTTGGGATTTTTTGGAGATGGGTATACTTTTTTAGCCAAATCAGCGGTTGAAAGCGCGATGCCTCTGAACTTATTTAAATAAACAATTTCAATTAATTAATAGAAAGATTAGGGAGTTATTCACTCCATTTGACCTGCGGGAAAAAAAAACTTGAGGACCTACAAGGAGCGCCAAAAAACACTCTTATATATCATAACCAGCATGAGCAAGTTGATCAGGATGTTGTGGTCCTCATACCATCATTAGCTCAGAAAAATCTTTCCACTTGTTTAATGTTGATATCAATTTAATTGCCGCGAAATTTCAATTTTGTGTTCTCTTCTTCTTTTAAGGTTTGTTTAATTCTCGTTGGCCGATCAGCTGCTTTTACAACAGGCACCCCCTGTTATGTGGGTGTGCGCAGAAGGTTTTAGGTAACGATTACTTAACATTTCTGTTATGAAAACGAAGACGTAACATTGCCGTTACAAAAACGATGATTTTGAATTTCGAACTTTAAACAAAATCGATCAGGGCTTTGGTTTCCGGCTCCAAAATCAAGGCCAATTCTAGATGCACCCTGGGCATCAGCAGCTTTGGCAACAGCTCTTTCTGCCTGCTTTCGGATTCTGTTTATTTTCTCGCTCTTGCTGCACCGCGCAACAATTGATTTTTTTTTGAGAACAACTAAACTAGCGGTGCAAAAAAGTAATCAGTACCCGATAAGCTGAGTGTAATTTTTTGTAAATTTGAAATTATGATATGATTTAATTGGATAAATTTCTGTTTAATAAATGTTTGTAATGAAGAATAAAATGATGGCATATACAAATTTAAACAGAATTCAGCAAAAGCGTAGATTTGTGCCTATGAAACCACTTTCCAATCAGACAGAAAAAAATACCAAATCTCAAAAAAAATCCCCAACTCTAATTTGTAAATCAGATTCCAATTTATAACTCCTTTAATTATTGTATGAAAAATATATGCTTTTCATGTGAATTGGTCCAACTGAGAGATATCGATAGCAGACGCGGCAGGTTACAAACACCGTATTCGTAGTAAAGGTAAAGGGGGAGGCAGAATCCTTACAATTTGATTTAAGGGAGGTTACCAGTGTAACATTTCTTAAAATTATTTTTTTTTTGCCTTATCAATAGTTTACCATGTCAAAAACTATTTAAAGCAACAAGATCGTATCTAAAATAGTTTTTAAACGGCAAAGTTTTAAAGAGCTGCCGCTCGCAGGCATACACCTGAAACTTAAAACGCGTTTATCTCTTTTTTGATAACTGCTGAAATCATAACTTGACTACAAGTTGACCGATCGGTTTCAAATTGAAATGAATTGAAATTGACCTACAATCTTTTGAATTGTTTGAAAACTATCCATCTGGTAGAATTTAAGGTGATTTTTTAAAGATCATGGGTCATTAAAGTGGAAATATATTTAGCTTAAATATTTTTTGATTTCACACATTCATTCGACTGAAATCATTCAGCAGTTGGATTCCTTTTTTTTGGATCCTCGGTAGACAGCCCATAGTCCCGTTACTTCTCACCATTTTTGTAAAAGAAAAATCTTAAAATAATGTTGAAACTCACCTTATTATGTGCAAAAAATGTGTATTTTATTTTTTAATTAATGACCAAAATTAATTTTCGTTAAACTATAAGCATGCGAACAATGAAGATAAAATGATCAGTAGATCACAGCCATAAATGGGAGAAATTAACATAAAGAAAGAAAGAATATTAGTAGTTTTGCTTTCGATTGCTCAAAAATATTGAAATATGTAACTTTAAGCCCAACCGCCTTTTTAAACGAGGAAATTTTTGGGATTTTCTAATTATATATATGTATATATTGTCGACAATTAAATTGTAAATTAAATTGAAACTAAGAGTCTATCTTGGAAACGTGTTGCTTGTGGTGAGCCCAGGCCTCTTTGAACTTGCGCATCTTGCCGAGGATCTTATCCATAACTAAGCTTTGGTTTAAATTTAGGAAATCCTGTCGCATCTCAGGCCATTCAATAGCCTTGTCTGTGACTGCAGAGCAGCTCTCTGCAACCATTTCTTTTGGTTCTGTATGGGTATTTGGGCTAGATTTATAGTATTTATACTGATCGAGCTTTGAGAGCACTTCGTGGACATGGTAAAGACCGCTGCTCGTTTTGTCATGGACAAATCTTATCCGGGGAACTTCGCCCATAAGATGCAGCTGTGCAAGCTCATGCTGCAGCTGGCCGCTCAAACGATTCAGCTTCTCCTCGATCACGTCGTTCGCCTGCCCGTCCTTGCCCAGCCAATACACATTGATTCGTGTAAAGTCACTGGTGATTTTTACATACGAAATCTGTACGCCTTGGCCAACGATCGAATCGGCCACTGAACCGTTGGCCAAAATATCCGTTATGTTGGTCATGAACACCTTATTCAGTACGGACATGCGGCGATGGTTGTCCGGGGCGGAGTGCGAATGAGGTGTTCCGAACTTTAAGGCGTGAGTCGATTTTTGGTATCCAGTGCTGCTTGGAGCATTTGCATCGGGCGATGGGTACCAACGGCTATTGCTGCCCTTTATCCGATTTCCGAACAATGAGCTAAATATTTTGCCCTGACGCGCCAAGTTGTCCTTCTTCGTCTTGGTGCTTTTGTTTCGTGAAAGCGCCTGGTGGTACACATTATTAAATCCAGAGTTGCTAGCTTGTAACCTCAAAACACGAATGCCTAGCATTTAGTCCAGTTGCATCAATTCAATTTCCTAGATTAGGTAAACAGAGTGTGACCTACGCTGGATCGTCAGAGTTTACCAGAGAACATGAATAAACATCGATATAATAAGGTATTCCCACAGAGCCCATTCATCATCATCATATGTGCGGTGGTCTAAGAGCGTTCACTAGCCGATAAATGATTTTTTTAAATTTACCAGTTACAGGTGCTCTGCTTTTCTTTTACCGTTTGGTAAGGAGCTTGATTGGGTAAACTAAGTTATTGGATTGCTAATAAATATATTTATTAAAAATTGAATGTCAATATATATGGCGTAAGAAGAACTTTCTAAAAAATAAGCTCTGAAAATTACATTTAACTTAAAAATATTAACAGCATAAAAATTATGTGAAAGGAACTTCTGACAAATAATGTTTGACATATGATCATTAAAAAATATAACAGCCTATGGGGTTCCAATGGTATGCGGACATCTGCAGTTTACACGATATTCAACATTTTTATTTTAAGTCCAGAAGTTTATATTTACCTGTTTTGCTCTTTAAAAAAAACAAACAATCTAAACTATATTATAGACTCTACCATATCAGCTGTTGTTGGATACCGACAGTAGAGTTAATGTTTCATTCGCTCAAAAATTCCCACCGTTCCCGCACGATATTTGCAGTGAGAATAACACATAATATTTACATTGGTAGTTGACAACATGCGTCCATCGCTACTGCCGATTACTTTTCAGTAATGAAAGACCTTTAACCTACTAAAATCATTGTCACAATTTTCATTGGTAGTTCGCATATTTGTAAATACGGATAGTTCCAAAAGGTCAGTATTTCTAAGAAAAACTTATCAATCGTATGTTAAGTCATTCACGTGTGGAAAGGTTTGAACATATGAATATGAAAATAAACGCTCTCGCAAGATACGGATAAAAGGTAAGCCGATAAAATTTACATTGCAATCAAATATATGTATACATACATTTATATATATATTGGTTCATTACTTATGCGTTTATATTTACCTTCTTTTTGGATACTAACCAAATGCGACTACATACATTTATGTACTTGTATATGTACGGATGATCATGTACTTACGGCAAAATGTACCTTCTTCAAATGATGATGAAAAAGCGTAGGTGGATGTGCAATATATAAATCCGCGTACAACATAACAAGGAGATAATTAGTTTTCTACAAGATGGAATCTAAAACAGATCAATTACCAAATCCCGTCTATGACAAGGAAACCGAAAATGTTCTCAACAACGAAGATTCTTCATTTCTGGCAAATATACTACGTGAAATCTTGTATAGTCCAATGAACTTGGCCCTGTTAGCAATAATCTGCTTCTTGGTCTACAAAATTGTTCGGGATCGCACTGAAGTACCATCTGCAGGCGTTGCAAAACCTGTTGAAGAAGGACTTCCCAAAATTCGCCGCGATTTCACTGTAAGCGAATTGCGCCAGTACGATGGAAATCAACCAGATGGTCGCGTTTTGGTCGCCGTCAACGGAAGTGTTTACGACGTAAGCAAAGGACGACGATTCTACGGGCCAGGTGAGTTTAACACAAAAGTCCATAAATTTAAAATCAAACCGTATCTCTTTGTTTTCCCCTAATAAATAAACATTTATAAAAAACGAGGTTAGCTAAAGAAGTAAAAGTAGAAGTAAATATATATACAATTGTAGCTGTAGGAAAGATATTCATACCAGGATGGCAAGCCTGAAAACAGTCATACCTTAATTTATGTGCATTTTTATTGAAAAGCACCCAAGATATGCCAATTTAGTCGCTTTGAACCTAAGGTTAATCCGAGCATTCCTAGGGTAGCTGTATAGTATGGTCTTCCGATTTCAATAAAATTATATTATTTTAACCATTAACATATTCATAAATTACACCTATTCTTTTCAATCTCGATCTGCGATATGCAAACGAAAACACGATTGGAAATTTCAATGCCGAATTGCCTTGTAATGGTGAATTAGAATATTTTTGTTTGATTAAATCAAGGCTCATAAAATGTCTCCTTAAAAAAAAAATTAAAAATGAATTTGTTTTTAACCTGCTGCATTAAAGCCATAGAGTGCGAGCAGAAAGCATGCTTCGTGTGACGTAGATGCGCAGAAAGAGCCTAGTGTAGCGCACTTGATTGTGTGATTGTACTATCGCGGTCGTGGGCCCTTATCCTTATCAAATGAAATCATTTTTTGATTGCTTTTGCCTTTCAGGTGGTCCCTACGCTATGTTCGCGGGAAGAGATGCATCCCGGAATTTGGCAACATTCAGCGTGGCTTCAAATGATAAAGATGATTACGACGATTTGAGCGATTTAAGTGCACTAGAAATGGATTCTGTTAAGGAATGGGAAATGCAATTTAAGGGTAACTAGCTCACATGTCCGCCCTAATAACTACATAGTTAAAGTACATTTTTATTTGAATTTAGAAAAATATGATCTGGTTGGCAAGCTTCTGCGTAGGGGCGAACAACCCACCAATTACGATGATGATGAGGACGATGAGAATGTTAACAGTGATGAAACCGCTGCTACAAGCGATCAAACCAACAGCTTGAGGAATCGTCTACCCAAGTCGAAAACTGAGACTGATGACACTAATCAAGAAAGTCACGTTCTAGAGGGCAACAATGCAACCATAAACAACGCACAAGATGAACCTGTTTCCACTGATTGTTAGCAAATCCCAGTTTTTTGTTTTGCTCTTGGATGTGGCTGTAATAGTTTATTTTCGGTTAGAAACACAACAAAACTAAATTGCATTTCCGACTCTTGATTCTGCCGCTGCTCCTCTGAAATTGAGAACAAGACCTATTTGGAAAACACATAAAAACAAACATCCCAAATTGAGCTCAGCAAACAAGGCATTAAATTTATTATGAACATTTGAAATGAATTTAAAAAGATGCAATGGTTTTTTTTAATCTTATTCTTAGAGTGCAGCCTTGAAAAAGCTATAGTTGTTACTATATTTCACGTTGTGATGTGATCTTGTTCCATATATTGTAGTAGTATATTCATAAAATTGTAACGGAAATTATAAAATTATTTAAGGAGGAGGCCAATGTGTGAGGGTATGGGAGTCATTTTCGTGGCAATATAAATTTAAATGTAACTATATTTGAAATACAAATTAAATACTAAAATGTCTTTCACTTCTTATGGATTGAAAAATAAGGAATTTTAAATTAAAATAAGAAGGAACGCTTAAGTCGACTTGACTATTTTATACACGTCAACACAAGCTAATGTGTTGCAATTTTTAAAGTGGTAAGAAATTTTACTTAAAACTGCTGGGTAAAAAAATTGCCATAAATTCAATTAATTTCAGAGCTACATCTTTTGTGTTAAATATTTTTGGACTAATATCCAATATTAGAGAATTATGGCAAAAAGCAAAAATATAACGGCAAAGACTTTTCGACCTTATTTTTCGTAATCAGGACCCCAAAAAATATATATCGGATCTTTTTGGCACCTAAAGGCAAGTGTGACCATGTATTTTTAAACTCAATTAAACATCATATATAGTTGTCTCTTTCTACGGTTCAATGAAGCTGTCAATGGATAAGACAAAGATCGAAATGTTATAACTATATTATGATTTTGAAAAAAGTGGCTCTGTGGGAACACCAGTCCACCATCCCAATCCCAACCGTTTCGCTTGGACGGACTCAGAGGGAGCGAACCGATAATTTTGCTTGGCTAAAAGTTCCAATCCTTCCAGGAGATGCTTTTTGTGAAATGTTCGGTCTAAGCTCTGTTTCCACTAGAGCAATAACATAGCTTTTATTAGCAAGAAATCAGTTTTTGACCACCTTTAAGCACAGTCAAATAGACTTTAACTTATACTTTCACAAGTTTAATGTTCGCGCAAAATAGTTATTCGTATTCTAGAAAGTAAAAAAAAACCGTTTATATTTACCAAATAATATAAGACATGTTATATTCTAATAATATATTTTTATAAATTCAATTATTTCTATGTTTTTTTTTTAACAGCCAGACCACTATATGTATTTGAAGAGCTCAATATATGTTTAACTGACCACCTAGAATTAGCCGCGAATTGTCGAATACCCAAGGGCAAGTGAAAGGGAAGTAAAAGCCAATAAAGGCAATTTTTATCGCTCTTTTAAACACTATAATTGGTGCTAAGACTTAGTTTGGGCCATTGTTGGGTTTTAAGATAATCAGAAAACACCAGTTCAAGCGCTGATTGCAGCTAAACTTGATCGAAGATTTTAAGGAAGTTTATTTTAAAATGTTATCAATTGATCATTTTTGATATAGTTTTTTGTTTTACCCTAAAATATTAAGAAGTTTTTTTTATTGAATTGGAATCTCGTTGCACGCAACATTTTCATCCATCTTTTGTACTTTTTCATGCATAGCATGTATTTCAATAATATTTAATTAATTTAAAATTTTATTTTATTTAATTCTTATTTCAGAATAAGAATATATATTCGATAAGCCCAATTAAATAACTTAAATTATATCATTAATGTCAAAAGCCATTTGTTTAAATAAATATACTGTCCTAGGATTTATCATCTGTTAGCCACTGCAAGCAAACCAATGCATCTTCCATTTTTATTTTAATGTATGATATATATTAACGACAATCTTTCAATTTGTGTAGTTGGCTACAATTAATTGCAACTCCATTTAAGCTGTTTTGCTTCTTTGCCCTATTCCATATACATCAAAAATATACAAAAAATAAGTAAAAATAAATGATTCATAAAGGTTGTACTTTTGTCGCACGCGACAACTTCAAAATTAATGCACTGCTATTTTTTTTTAATTGTTCTGTTGTTAAAATAAATGTTAGTACCCAAAAGTTGTATGCTCATTGGTCAAAAACCTTAGATGCACTGACCAAATATGCTATTTTCACTGTTGCACACAGCAGCGATAGAAACGGAAAGCTGATAAAAAATTCTCCGTCACTATGAATTGTCTCGCCTATTTTTTAATATTTTTTGAGTATAAGATTTAAGAATACGAATCAAAACAAAATTACAAGAAAAATGTTCAAAACAGAGCTTTCACACTTGTTCGACTTTGCTTGGAAATATTTCAAAATGTGTTGAGTAAAGGCAAAATTAACTTTTATTAATCAATTACCTGTAAAACTATGTGAAAAGACTTTGACTTTTCTGGAGAAATACATAAATATTTCTAGATAGTCTTGAAATGTACAATATACAATAGCTTTTTTTATTTATAAAATTATATGGATTTTCCGAATGTTTTATTTTAATATTTTCCAGAAATATTTCAAAACAAAACAGCTGTTCCCTTGAATTTCACGGTTTTGAAATTTCTGGCCTCATATTCGCGAATGCGCATCTTTATGAATGCGCAATAACGCGACAACAGTGGAAGCCCGCCGTTGTTTCGATAGTTCTTAACAGTGTTATCCCCTTGAAAGTGATTTTCAGAAGTTATCGAAAAAATTGTCCGTCTCTGAGAGACTATGTGTTGGTTCTTTGTGGTTAACAATTTTTCGGAAAATAATATTGAATTTTATGTAAAATATACATAATAGGCGTGATGACAGTTAGTCTTAAACAGATGCAAATTCAGTCCTGATTGCCGATTGCCTGTACGGAAACTGTTACGCGTAGTTATGTGTGGAAGATGTACGAACAATCGCACACAGCCCACAAAAAGTCGTCGTCTTTTGTATGTACGTGCTGTGTACGCTGCTGCTAACGACGCTGCGCTGTCTGTTACCGAGTACACAACATGTAGGGACGACACTATGTCGACGGCAAGGCAATCGCAATTAGAAAAGTGTAAGCGAGATGACTATTGCTGCTGCTGCTGCTAGAGACATTGTGCACAGCCTCATACATATACAATGCTAACTAGCGCGCGAGCGCTCTCGCCGTTGCGGCAACGACATTGTCAACTATAGACGACACAGGCAGAAGCAGAAGCATAGAGAAAAAAAACCGAACCGAACAGAAGTACCTCCCATCTGCGTATATCGTATGTGAATATATGTACATATGTACGTACATGTACATACGACTACGACGATTTATATGCACGTACAAATGGGCATATATGTGTGGTGTGTTGTGTTGTGCATATATATTTGAAGAAGAGTATATGACGAATGATGAGTGCTAGACAAAATAAATATGGACTATTTTCGGTGAATTCTCAAATCGGCGATTTTTTTTTTTTATATGTTTCCTTCTGTTTTGTGTAATTCTGCTGACCTGAAAAGTGTGTGTGTGCTGTTTGTTATAAAGTGTGTGCAGAATTAAATATTATGTATGTGTGTGTGTGTGTGTGTGTGTGTGTGTACAGCAAAAAGCGCAACTAATTGGAATAGGGAAGTTTGTGCTTAAACTTGTAATTTAATTTTAAATATTTTTTTGTGACTTGGCGACTAAATTAAATTTATCGACATGCTAAACTGAGGTGACGACCACCGGTGCAAAAATATTAACAAAAAAAAAAAAAAAAGCAAAAGCAAAGTTTAGCAGTGAGCGCACAGGTCACAAAATAACAATAACTTCAAAACAGTCGGCGCAGCATCGATTTTTTCAAAATACACGCGATTGAATTGAATGTGAATGGTTGGCCAAAAAAAAAAAAATAAATAACAAAAAGGTGCACCAGCCATCCAAATATCCAAAAGCAAATAGCAAATAGCAAATATCAAATACCGACTACCCAATACCCAACACCCAATAACCAATACCGAAAACCAATATTTGAAAGCTTTCGCCTTATCGCTGGTCTAGAGCCCCAAAAGCAGAGCCGAATGCATTGGAAAAGGTTTGGTCCAGATGACATTGCCGTGGCTACTCCAGATATACATAATAATAATGTTCGTCGATACTTTGTATTCCCAAGGAACTGAACCACAACCAGAACCAAAAGCCGGACCTGGAGCATTGGTGTAATTCATTGGAAGCTTACACGCAAAAGAAATGGACACATCAAATGCCAGCAGCGCTAAATCAAAGACGTCTGCGTCGGCCAGCAGCAGCAGTAGTATCAATGGATTGGGACTAGGATTGGGAGCTCAAAACAAGCATATATCGTCGCAGGAGAACGCCAACGTTGCTGGCCAGGATGACAAAAACGATGCCCAGATCCAGACCCCGTTGGCAGCATCAGCAGGAGCAGCAGGAGCAGCAGCAGCGGCAGCGGCGGCAACAGCAGCCGGAACAGTCCTGACGGTAGTCGGTCACGACCGGAATTCGAGCAAGAGCACTGCTCCACAATCGGCACTGCTGCACCTTCCTCCGCCAACGGCCACCGCCTTAGTTAGCCACCAAGCAAGTGCCAATATCTCGGAGCTGCGGGCACGGCCATCATTCGTATCAAATACCTCAACGACGGAAGGCAAACCGATGGCCATACCCTCGGAATCGGCCTCCTCCACATCGGAGCCCAGCTGCCCGGCTGTGGTCGCCGCGTCGATGGCTTCCAGTGCCTGTGACTTTGACTCCGACACGGAGCTCTCGATTGTGGCCGCCGCAGCGGCGGTTTCGGCCGCAGCCGGCATAGATGCCAGGTCGCCCACATCGCCCACGCCCTCCGCTGCGTCGACAATAATGCCCGCCCTGAGTTCCGCTGCCGGAGGAGGCACTGCAGCCTCCCTCTCCCTCGCAACCATGGCCGGCAGTCAGGGCGGTGGCGGGGGATTTGGGGCAGGATCAGGAGCTGTCGGAGCCGGCAATACGAACGGGCACACCACCTCCAGCAGCAACAGCACTCACCTTAGTCTAAATGCCAAGCAACAGCGGCAGCAGAAACGTCGGCGGGAACGTGCCCAGCGTTTGCAAGCGGAACGCGACAGTCGATGCAATGCCAGTTCGCTCAGCGGCGGCACATTCATTGCCGGATCCGTGGGGGTCAGTGGCATGAGTGCAGCCAGTGGTGTGAATGCAGCCGGAGGAGTTGGAGGAGCAGGTCAGGGTGGCCTCATCACGCCGAGCGGCGGCAACGGCGGCAACGGCGGCGGTGGATCATCATCGGTGGCCATCGGGAACGGTTTGGCGGCAGGACCTGGCAACAATGGCATGATCTATCACATCAATAGCGCTGGCAGCATGGGCGAGGACAGCAACAACTCCAATGGCAACTTCACCAGCAGCAGCAATGGCAGCAACAATCTGCTGCCCCCCACAGATAGTATTGCATCGTTACTCCTGAATCCACCACATTCCCCCGAGTGCAACTCGGGCCTAATGGCCACGCCTAGTGATAGCGAAGGGGAGTCGCTGGACGAGGACCTGCTGTCGACGTCGTCCTCGTCGACGCTGCTTTTGCCACGCGACAAGCCGCCGCCTCGACCACCACCTCCAGTTCGAAGAAAGTTGCCACGATCTCCCGTACTGGAAGAGGAAATCATCGATGGATTTGCTATACTGGAGTTCAAGACATACGAGGATCTTGAGGTATGTTTTTCTGTCTACTCAGTTTGTCTAAAATAATTGAATGTCTTCCCCATTAACAATAGTTTGCCATCAAGTTGGGACAAAAACGCAAGGAAAAGCGCCTTTCTGCATTGGACGAGCTAACTTGTACCTACAGTATAGAGGAAATGAAAATTCCAAAGGTCATCGATACGGGCCAATCGCAGCAAACATTGCGTGTCACCAGCCTGTCCACGTTGACTGTAACCAACAACAACAACAACAACAATAACAACCTGAAGGAAAACCCACAGCCTCTTCACCGTGGTGGCAATGTCATTGGCAGCAATATCAACAATATGGCCAGCAATGGTCCAAATGCAAACAGCAATAGCAACAGCAGCATGGCTAACGTGGTGTATCTGTTGCCATCTGTGAACATTGGATCGGTTTTGGAGACGGAAACCGAACCCATTGACCGGAATCATTGGCGATCCGAATATGGGCAACAGCAGGACCAAATGCAATCCGACAATAGCGCAAACAGTAAAAGTAATATGATTAGTGATGATAATCAAATTAACAATAGTAGTCACCAAATAAATCACGCCTCCAACCAATCAAACAAACAAGCGGACGCTGCCTGCAATGCGGCCAAGATGCAAGTGAACAACAACAGTGCAACTAGTACCAGATTTTTGGAGAACGACAACGATTCACTCATGTTGGATATAAGCCTGCCATCGCTGGGCGTTGGTGCGGCCGCATCGCATAATCATGACCACATCGATGTGGCCATGATTCACGCCAGTTGCACTGGCAGCGACACCAAAAAATCTCACAACTCCCCCGCCACAAGTAACACCGTTGACCAATTGCATTCGACAAAATCGCTGCCCTCGCTCCAGCTCAATAATTTAATATCAAGTGATCTTACCGCAACTGCAAACGCAAATGCAAGCGCAAATGCAAATGCAAACGCAAATGCAAACTCAAACAATAACCACCTGAGTGTAGGCAAACTTGGATCGCAATCGGCACAGGTCGTAAAGGTGAGTTCTAAAGTGTGTTCCAGCAAACGTTTTTCCCCAACTATTATTATTATTATTATTATTTGTAATCTTTAGAAATCGAACGGGCTGGAGAACATCGAAACCGTCACGACATCTGCGACCTGCCGCTCGCTGGAAATTCAGGAACTTTCTAATGCACCAGCGCAGGGTTTTGGGGCCAGTGGCAGTATAAAAAAGGAGAACGAGCAAAGTGATCTTTTAAATGACGTAAGCACACATACTTTCAATCAAATACATTTTCGATTAACAATGATCCTCAAATGCCAGGCTTCAATTAATTGTAGCAGCAACAGCAAAGGAAATAATATCGTAAGTACATATTATTTGGTACATTTTATAACATTATAACTAACATTTATTTTTTCTTTTTAGTGTGATAATGTCAGCAATGATAAAAAGGTATGTTTACATAACTTACCAACAACTGGCTGTTCAGCGAAGTTTTAAAAATCTTTTTTTTTTTTTTTTTTAATTTTGATGTTTTTAGAACATATTTTTTTTTGAGCTTGATTTGATTTTTACTTGTAGCATTGTTTCAATAGTTTCCTTTTTTTCTGAAAAACTTTTTTTACTTGGGATGTACTCTAAGCAATCTTTTACTATGATTAGTTAAGCAAAGTTAAAGATTTTGTTTTCGGTTGAATCTCCGTTTACTTAAATGTACAAATGTTCAACATTTTTATTGACAACTAATTTGTGCCGCATTTTGCAACAGAAAGTGTGCAAGTTTAAATTATTCTAAACCGGGAGGTGCTAATTTAAAGATATACATGATCTTCAATATAGTTAGTGTACTGTTAAATGTAAATGTAGTGTTAATGTATACTACATACTTATTGTATATCGTATACTAGCTATTAATTTAACAAGATTTATTTGGTTAATGGGGACGAATTAGAAAACTATACCTAGATGTAATTTATTGTCAATTGTAGGAACTAGACAAAACTAGTTGGTTTTGATAGTGTTTTAGTTTTCATTTACAAAACAAATGTAAGAAAATTATGTTGTTTATTGAGTCTAAAAAGCTATCTTTACCATCAAAAATGGAGTTGTGGGCGTGGCAAATGTTTGTAATAAACTAGAACTTTCTATATTCAATTAAATAGCTTTTTAAGTTTTTGAGACCTCCATGTTCATGTCGCAGGAAAATTAAAAAACATTTCTACAAAAAAAGTGATATTTAAATCAAACACATTAGGACACAAAGTGTAGCATACTTTTTCTGTGCAACCTTTTTTTTATATTTTTAATGTTGATCTAAATTTAATAATTTAATAATTAATATTAATTTAATAATTTAATTTAAATTTAATAAAACATTTTTTTTATTACAGATTTCTTTTATGATTTTTACTTGATATGATTTTGATCCTAATCCTTATTACAATGTCCTTGACAAAATTATCTTCTGTCTCTCTCTTTCCGATGCTTAGATATAAATGTTTATCGAGATATTTCAAACCCTTTTATAAAAAGATATTCTAATTCAAAATGCTAAAATCCTATCACCAAGATTGATATCAGAAGATAATAATTGGAATAACAAATGCCTAAAGTCTAAAAATACGCAATATTTCTATTAAGTAATCAAGTGCCTTGACTGTAATTCGGAATTTTGTTTAATATTTTACATTTTATTCCACTCCAATATGATAATAGCCTAGATAAAAGATCCAAAATGCCAAAGTAGCATTCTTTATAATGAAGAAATATTATTGTCTTCCCAACCTTTTTTCTTTAAACAAATAGTTTAAATATAGTTTTAAAACTAGGATTTAAATGTAGTTAAACTCGGGCTTTTGGACAGTCGACAGTCTCCTAAAGTTCGCGCAAATTCACATTAAATGTTCATAATTTAAATCATAATACATTTTATGCTTGCAGAATTCTGAACAAATATTTGATATTGATAACCCCCCCACGTCTATGAATGTTTCAAATACTTCAACGTGTCAGGATCGATCGACTTCCCGCAAGTTATCCGACCTTCCGCACCATAAGAAGAAGAGTGCGGCGTGTGGAGATAATGGCACCTTTCCGGGAGTACCTTTTACGCCGTCATTGAGCACAGTGTCTGTGGGCAATCCAGAAAGCGATGCAAGTAAAGCTTTAACCATAAAGAACACTTCTGAGAGTAGTATACAAGCCAAAGCGGTTCACGCCGGTGCCTCTGTGTCCACATCTCCGGCGAACGCAGGCGAATCTGGGAACAGAGAGCTTGGCATGCTGCAGAAATCCTCTTCCGAAAAGGCCCATTATCCCAGCTTGTGCGTTGCTCCATCTGTGTCGTCGGTGCAAGTAAGTTACTACCTACCCATTTATACAATATCGCTTGAAAATCGAATCTAATTTTGTTTTCCTTTTCAAATAGTTTCCCAACGTTGGAATATCAGCTGGAAACGAGAAAATCGTGTCAACAGTTGCGTCTGATATTGATCAAAAGATTATGTTTAATACCAAGACAAGTGTTTCAAACGGATTGTCATCAGGGGTGCAACAACGGTCAATTGTTCCATTGATATCTGCTGTGCAATCGCAGTCGCAATCGCCAGCTACAGCAACACTAAGCAGTCCATTTAGCGCACACATTGCAACACCGAATGCTGGATTATCGTTATTGACTTCGGCTTCAAGTGTGATTCTAGGCAGCAGCATAAAATCAAATGATAACTTTGCAAGAAGTAACAACACCAGCAGCAGCACCAGCAGCAGCAACAACACCAACAACAACAACAGTAACAACAACAACAACATTGGAAGTTCAAACAGTCAGGGAACAATATCAACGGTCGGTGGATTGTCTACAGGCTCGGAAACAGCGAAAATCAGTTCAGTTGCAATCTCCTCACCGCCCAATCCCATTGTTAATGGCTTCCTTAGTGTTTATCCGCCTGCAACGATTGCGACATCGTCGGTGACAACGAGTACGTTGCCACGTGTTTCGCCCAATGCAGCCGCCGCCAATAAACTAGTGCCACCGGTATCCACATCCATTTCGATAAACACAAACTATGTGGGAATTTCTGGTGGCACAACGTCAGCTTCCGGTATGGGAAAGGTGGTCTTCGGCACGGGCGGCAATGCGATTGTCGGCACGGGATCTCCGTTGCTTTTTCCAGGAGCACCACCAGCCCCCATTTCTCATGTTGCCACTGGCGTGCCAATGATCATCCAAGCCCCTCCGTATCGAGCACCCTACACGAACTACCCCCTCTACACGCCATACAGCGGCCTGACGCACGGGTCGTACCTGCCTCCAGTATTGCCGGTTGCCACCTCCAACATGCCGCCCACACAGCTCCGCAGCTCGGACAGTCGCAGCAGTCGTGAGTCGCCGGCAGCGCCTTCGATGAAGCCAGCTTCGTCGAATATCGCACTGAATGTCTCGATGACACCGACCATCATGCGATCCATCACGCCACTCAACAATAGCTGTGCAATATCCAGCGGTGCATCGCAGCCCGTTGTGACCGTCGTCCCTTCGGCGAACTCCAGCGCCGCCCTTTCGCTGAGCAACTCCCAGCACATGACCCACTCCCATCATGTGCCAGTGTATGCGACAGGTGCGTTCTCCTCTGCGGCGGCCGGGACAAGTACACCGAACTCCTCTGGACTCTCTACGCTGGCAGTGACATCGCTATCCACGTCGGCTGCTCCACAACCACCGCACTTCCCGCCGGCCACCCAGATGCACTCACAGAGTGCAAATTTCTCATCGGTGTCGCACTTGCTGACCACGCACTCAATGCCAGCGCAAAACCAGCCCTTGGTGCGTTGCGGTAACACATTGTATTCATCGTCTGCCGCTGCCGCTGCCGCCGCCGCCGCTGCTGCCTCCTCCAACTTTAGTGCCAGCCCCTCGGTGCTCGCCGTTCAAAGTCTAACGACAGCGGTCACGTCGAGCTCGTCATCACCATCGACATCGTCGTCATCATCTGTGATCCAGAAGGTTATTTCCCCCAAAGGAGAATCTCCTTGCAACAAAGATCGGGATCCCAGTTACAGGTGAGTAACGCCTATGCAACTATCACCTATCACTCTGCCATGAGACATGGATCACAGACAACGAGTTTTTCATAAAAGACTCGGCATTTAAGTTCGTCTAAATTGATCGGAATAACAGCTCGTAAATAGTAAATAGTAATAGTAATATAGTCCGATGTTGGCTCTTCAACTGTTGGGATGTCAGTAAACTTTGGAAGATATTGTCATAACAAAATTGCGGCAAACATCACAAAACAAACATTGCGTTGGTAATATAAATATTATAAAAACCAAAAATTTAAAACAAAATGGTTTTGGGACACCAGCGAGATTTCATTTTGCGAGTGGAATAAAGTTGAAAGTGATTTCTAGCTTAGACCATCTCAGGGAATGTCAATGTTTGTTTTAAACCAAAGTGAATTAACCAAATTTGAACTTTGTAATTAAGGGTGACCCTTTTCGTGTAATAGGGACTATGAATTACTATTCGGGGATTGGTTAATTCCGAAAAGGGGCCTATACACATGGAAGTCGGATTAAAGTTAAATAGTTCGCATTGCTTTCATCTTACTATCCATCGCTTGCAAGGATCTTTATCTTTTGGTATATTTAATTGCCTGAAATGACAAAATAGAATAAAAGTAAAACCTTTAACTGATCACTTCTTGACAGCTTTATTGAATTTTAAATAATTGTCCAAATTAAACGTTTGGCAAACTCAATCAACGTATATACACAGCTGTCTAAGCAATTTGTTTACTGTGCTTAAATGTGTATAACATCTATACATCTAATACTATCAAAGACAAGGCTTAGGGGAAATATACATCTAACTATAACACATGATGGTTTAGAGTCGATTGATATTAACACCGGTTGAAATTTCTTCTTTTATTTCGCAGTACAAATATCAGGTCCCACGGTGCACCAGCAATATTGCCTGTCGTGTCCCAAGGCATTGGTCTGGGCACGTCGTTTTGCGGCATCCCCCCAAGTCAGTATGGAGGTACAGGTGCCTCAGTATTATCCTCGAGCTCTCCAATGACGGCATTGGGCAATCTCCCCTCCTACTCCTCGAAGGCGGCACTATGGCTGAAGTACACATGCAATGCCCACTTTGGAGTCAATTCGGTGAACTAACAGTTTGTGTTTTCACTTGCAGCTCATCTGCCAACGCTGTGGTGACGTCCTGTGCTTCCGCCACGCCCATTGTGTCGAGCGGAAGTGCCCGTCCGACGCCTCCGCTCTCGAACTGCACCAGCATGGGCATTGGCATGGGCATGGGCATGGTGAACCCGGCATCCACGGCGAGATCCTCCTGCAATGCCATATCGCCGCTGTCCATTCCCGCAACTGCTGGCATTCACGTGTCCGCTGCAAATCCCACTTTCCAGTCGGCATCGTCATACTTCCCAGCACCTCTAGCGCCGCCACCATCGTCCCCATCACCAGCCACTTCCTCTGCGGCCATCAACAGCTCCGCCTCGCCCTTCCCGCCAGTGTCCCACTCGATGAGCAGTATTGTAACGACGACGGCGGGGGCTACCACAACGACGGCCTCGTCAGTGACACCGCAGCCCACGGCTGCCGCTATATCGAACACTGTTGCCAGCACACCGCATCCCTTCTCTGCAGAATCGCTTTTCCAGCCCAGCAAAAGTAAGTCACTTGGCATTTGGACAAGAGGATCTAAAACAGTATGACCCACACACCACTTTTGCAGATGATCAAGCCGATTTGCTGCGGCGCGAGCTGGACAGCAGGTTCCTGGACAGATCTGGCTTAGCCGTAACCCCCACACCGCCATCATCGACATATTTACGAACCGATCTCCAGCATCAACAGCACGCACACGCACTGCATCAGCACCCGCAGCTGCTTCCGCCAGCATCAGCATCAGCCTCAGCCTCATCCACGCCCCTAACAGCCGTGCCGCCCAGCTCTGGACAAATATTTCCCCCGCCATTGTTCAAAGATCTATCCAAAATCTCGTCCGTCGATCCCCAGTTCTATCGCACTGGCATGGGCCTGCCAGCGGGCGGCTACAGTGGCTACACCTCGGCGGGACTCCTGCACAGTGGCTTGGGTGGGCCAACGCCGTTCATGCCTCCCAACCATTTGACATCCTTTGCCCCCAAGGTAAGAGCTACATTTGTAGACCCTCGTGGCACTCAAACAACATTATTTTACTAACTTTACTTAGCTAAATGATAAGGCATAAATTGGGTGCTTAAACTTATATACTCTGCTCTGCAGTTAGTATTATAGCTTACATTAAATTATATAAAGTTTGTTTCTAACTCGAGGTCAAGAGTCGCCATAAATGTAAATTAAGGTCTTTTAGCCAATCTCGATAAGAACGAGATGATAATTTACTCAATTTAAAGATTGATTTTCAACATTAAATTTACTTAATTTCACTGTGATTTGAAAACTACATTCCGATTAATGTTTGCATAAGGTCCGTGGTTCAAGTGTAAATGAACTTTTAAATAGACTCTTGATCTCTGGTTTACAAACCTTTTCACTGCCTACCTATTAGAAATGAGACAAGTTAAGTTATCTTAAATATTTTAAAAATGTAAACAATTGTGTTTGCCATCCGAAAATAATAAAACTAGTTGTTTTTTCAATGAACTATTTTTATTTGAATTGTAATGTATGCATCCCTTTTAATTGTTTTTTTATTTTTCCATTACAGAAAACTGGTCGTTGGAATGCCATGCATGTTCGTATTGCGTGGGAAATCTATTACCACCAAAACAAGCAGAGCTCTGAGAAGACAGGATTTCCGACGGCGTCATCGAGTGCCCAATCGATCAGCGCGCCCATTCCTCCGGGCAACCTGATCAGTGGAGGAGCTGGTGGTCTCGCCAGTGGGACCAACCCGCCGGTTAACAATGTGGCAGCCATCCCTGCGGTCGGAGGTGGTGTCCTAGTCTCAAATGGGCCTGCCTCTGTGCTTGGTATTAAGACAACGCCACAACTGGGTCTCAATACCACACCGCAGCACATTCTCCATCGGCCGGGTGAAATGCCGCCGTCAGCAGCATTCGCCGGTGGCTTGCCAGGTCGATTGGCGTTTGAAACGTCTCCCTTGGCAGCGAGTTTCATTGGAGCTCCTCCTAGTCATATAGGTGGGTAGAGAGTTGCTTAATATCCTAGAACTTCGTCAAATAACTATGTTCTTGTCTACAGGAACCGCAGTTTCCCCCTTCGGACGCTATGGTAATCCGTTTGGCTTCACAAGCCTAACACATTTTGGTGGACACTTGGACTCGTGGAGGTAAATAACTAGTTATTTATGCTAAAGTTTAATAGTAAGTCGCTGTGTAACATGACTGAAAAGTACTGGGTCTTGATGAATTACCTTTGTTTCCATAAATGTAAGGTTACATAGTTTTCCTATTAACCATAAAACACAAATTAGAATTTTATTAGTTATCTTATTATTTTACTCGTGAAATTAAGTGGTTATTTTTTACTATAAATATATAGAATGTTGAGTTTCGTATTTATTTTTATAAATTCAAAACAAACAAATATTTAAAGTATTTTTCTACACTTCATAGATAAATTCAAGGTCCATTATGAAGCAAAAGTAATGATTTAAAACAGTTGTGAAGAACATATCCAATTAAACCCAATCAAATGCATGCTTACTTGTTGAAAGAAAAAAACTTAAAGGCATTGTTCTTTTTAAAAATTACTTGAGATTTGTATTTCAACAAAACTATAAAAAATAATAGTTGAGATTTTGTTTTTTATGAAACTAAAATAATCATTAGGTTTTTTATTTGTATAAATCTAAAAAAAAAAATATTTAAAATTTGCCAAATTTTGAAACAAGTTTAATTGCGTAGAGTACATGTTCACTCCCAATTCTTTAGCTCTTTTAGTTGCCAAGATCTTAACTGTAATACACGAATTTCGTTTAATTTATAATACATATATGCATATATATAATACACATATCCATTCCTTTGTAGAACAAACGCAATGCAGCGGAGTGTGGCCGCCTATCATCCCTCCAGTGCTGCGGCATCTCCCAACTGGCCGGTGAAGTCGGATCCCGGCCTGGACAATGCGCGTCGCGAAGCGGAGGAGCGGGAGCGCGAGCTGCGGGACCGTGAGCAGCGGGAACGCGACCGCCAGCGACGCGAGCGGGAGGAGCGGGAGCGCAAGGAGAAGGAGGAGAAGCTGAAGCGGGAGCAACAGGAGCGGGAACGCGAACGGGAACGGGATCGGAAGGAGCGTGAGCGCGAGCGGAGGGAAATAGAGCGTCGGGAAATGGAGCGGGAACGAATGCTGCAACAGCAGCGGATAAACGAGAGCAACAAGCAGGCGGCAGTACAAGCGGCGGCTGCTGTGGCCCCGCCTGTGCGCGATCGCTCGCCTCACCGCAACGTTGGCGAGCTGAACACAGAGATTCGCATCAAGGAGGAGCATCCGCGCACCAAAGACGAGCAGGACGTGATGCTTTTGCGTGCCTCCGCAGCGGCAGTCGGAGTGGGTGTGGGTGTGGGAGTTGGCGGAGATCCCCGCTATCACTCATCCTCGCTGGCAGCCGCTCAGGCCAATGCAGCTGCGGCGGCTGCCCATCATCATCATGCCAACTTCATGGCAGCCAGTCGCCATGGATTACCGCCACCGCCGTCGCACCTCACGCGCACCATGATGCCGCCCACTCTGAGTGTCGGCGGACCGATTGCGCACTTCGGCGCACCAGCGCCGCCAGGCTGGGGCATCGATCCGTTCCGCGATCCCTATCCCATTCTGCGCTACAACCCCATCATGGAGGCTGCCCTGCGACACGAGGCGGAGGAGCGACAGAAGGCGATCAACATCTACGCGGCTCAGTCTGCCGCCCATTTGCGCAGCAAGGAGCCAAGTCCCATTCCGCCGTCGGTCGGTGGTTCCCTAGGTCCTCCGCCGCCCCACCACCGGATGCAAATAGTGACCAGTGTTGGCTCAGCGGGAGTGCCACAGCCACAGCCACCGCCGAGCCAACAGCAGCAGCAACAGCAGCAGCAGCCACAGCTCTCTGGTGGTGTTGGTGGTGCAATGGGAAAGAACTCGGGACCGCCGGCACCAGGAAGCATTCCAGTCCAGCATATGATCAATGTCGACTCCATGGGCCAGCAGACAGTGAGCGCCAAGAAGGAGGCGGACCACACGATGGGCATGGTGGCTAACGCTGGACTCAGCACAGTACCTGGCGGTGTAATTGGAATATCTCCAGTGTCTTCGGTGGCGCCAAGTCGATGATAGGAAAACCAATCGTCGGTCGTAAATCGTCAATCGTCAATAGTTGCACTAAACCAAATGTAAAAGCGAATAAGACAAAGAAATTTGAAAAATTTCGATCACCAGCTCCACCAAAATGTCATCATACGCAGAGTCCCATCCTTATTACCTCCTCCCAGCATCATTTTGAGCCTGAGAGAACACCAATGAATGAAGCGCAACGCTTTTGTAAACTAGAATTCATCAATACATTACATTACATTACATTCATTTGTAAAGTGAGGAGATGCACGATGATAATGATGAACATGATGATGAACATATAGATGAAGATGAAAACGATGATGCAGATGCAGATGAAGACGATGATGAAGACGATGATGAAGATGAAGATGAAGATGAAGATGTTTGTGGCAAACAAAAATCAAATTAAAAGAGGTTAAGACTTCCTTATACTTCAGACCTAGCATTCAACCTAAGCACTGAGTCCCACATTGGCAAAATACTTTCCTCGACCTTAATATGGTCGGTAGCGCGTTGAAGCGTCATAATAAGTAATATGAACTTTACTTATTTTTAATAAAATACAAATACAAATTACATGCATACAAATAAATTTAGGTTCGCAAATTTAGTTTAAGTGTATTTGTATTATTTGTATAATATATATATATATATATAAGCTTAAGAAACAGCCACGAGACATGTTGAGCAAGAAAAGTAATTATAATTTGATTGTACATATACTATATATTATACAAAGAACTCTCATAGTTATATGACATCAACATGCAGCCTATGGAATCCAAACTATCATGCACATGATACATAACTCTATGTATATCAGTGACAGCTTCATTCCCTTTGTGCATTACGTGTTTAAGGAGTAATTATCATATATGCAATTTATGTAAAAATTGATAAAACTAAAAATAGAATCATTACAAAAAACATGTACGGTTTTTCACTGGCTTGATTGAGAGCGGTTAACTGGTTTTTGCTTAGAACAATTTTTTTTTTTTTTTTGTATTCTAGTCTTAATTTAAAAATAATAAATGCTAAACGTTCATCCTGTTTTTATTTTGTATACTTCTACAGCACGCATAATTTATTCGGTTTTTTAAAGAGCAGTATCAAAAGTCAGATATAAGAACTGACTGACCGACTTCAACTAAAATTGGATAGATCTATATTCAAATATATTTGATATAATTTACTCAATCTACAAAAATATAGATTTGATTTGGTCCTAGCTCCACAAAAATGTCGTTTAATTATTGTGCTAGTCACGAATAAAAATCAGAGTTCAACTAATTTTTACAATTACAATTATTTTAAAATTAATACATTTTTTTTTTGTTTTTGTATAATAAAGATATGGGTAAGATGTGGGTTACAAGCCAATTATTTTTGAAAAGAAAGAAATCTAAAAATTTTACTTCATTTTATGGATCGATACAGTTCAATCAAACATTTTTCAACTCTTCAAAATAGAAAACCTCACACGACCTGAAATTTGCATTGCTGCTTTCAATATATATATAGATACTATATAGAGAGGGAGAGACAAATCGGGCAACAGCAACATCGGGTGAATGGGAAACCAGTGTTTACTTTAGCCATGCGCAGTATCTGCAATGCGCGGCACCCCCAGCAACAGGATTACTTTTTCATAGGCAGAAGTAGCATCTGCTAGCACCTTCACTTTCCATTCGGTCCATATACTCATATACCCTTGCAGAGATACTTTTTTGTCGAAATTCACATCTAGGACTTTTGGCAAAAAAAAAGAATACTATAGTTTTTTTTGTTGTTACTTGCTTACAATAACACGCATAGCTAAAATAAATTGTGTTTTGTCAATTCTGTTTCCCCAGTCAATTCTGAAAAAACTAATTTGATGACCAATTTTTTAATTGACCTATTTTGGCTTAGTTACAACAAAAATAAAGAGAAATGTTTTAGTTTCTTATGTCTCTAAAATCCCAAAAAACATTTGTGTTTTGTATCAAAAGCCTGGGAAATAATTGTCAGAAGTTAGAATGTCATATGTACATCTTGGATTCGTGATAAAATTTGCAATCACTAAGCATGCACAGCTAAAATGTGTTGTTTTTCAAATTTTGGCAAAAAATGATAATGGTAACCCCTTACAAATAAATTCGAAAATTGGCAATTTTTTTATATTTATTTTTTATATCAAAGCAAAATGAAATTTTTAGTAGCTCGATCGGAATGGATTTTATAGGTTGCCACCTATATAAAACAGCCACTGGTTTGACTATGCGTCTTAATTTAGGTTACAACTATAAGTTACAACTATAAGACTCTTTATTTTGTTATATTGTCAAAAAAAAAACCAAAAAGACCGTAAAAAAATCAGTTTTTGAATAAAAACCTGGAAAATAATTGTCAGAAGTTAGAGTGTCATACATCATTGGATTTGTCATAAAATTTCCAATCAAAGGGCATTCACAGCTTAAATTTTTTCAGTTTATTAAGTTTTGGCAAAAAATTATAATGTAACCCCTTATAGGAAATGCGAAAATTTACCGTTTTAAAAACCACGGCATTAAACAGTCGGTTTTTGTATCAGAACAAAATGAATTGTTTGTAAATCGATCGGGATGGATTTTATAGGTCACCAGCTGTACAAAACAGTCAATTTTATGGCTTTGCCAAGTTTCTACGAAAATACTCTTAAGAAATGTTTGTTTTTATTAAATATCCAAAAACCCAAAAAATGGATTTAAAAAATCGGTTTTTGTTTCAAAACTCTAGCAAGAAATGGTCAAAGGGTGGAATGATATACATCGTTAAATAGGTGATAAAATTTCCAATCGATTGGCATTCACAGCCAAAAACGTTTATGTTTGCAATAAATGAGGATAAAGTTTGAAAAAAATTGAATAAAATGAATTTCACAAATCAAAATTTCCATAAGACTGAACGTTTTCAGCAGCTGGTCGATTTTGGAAAATTAATTTCATGACTTTTTCAAAAACTAAGCAGTTTAATTGTGAAAGCCATTTCGTTGGTTAATTAATTAATTAATACAAAGATGTATGACATTCCAACTGTTGACCATTACTTTGTCACAAAAACTGATTCCTTAAAAGTGTTTTTTTAGGTTTTTGCAAAATAAAAAAAAAAATTCTCAAGAGACATTAAAAACATTTGTCTAAAACTGAAATTGTTTAATTCTCATGTCTCTCTACATCAGCGATCACAACGGTCCAATCTATTGAGCATATAGGATAGTGAATTGCCGGCACAGTGGCAGCAAAGCGGCGGCAGAGCGGCGGCAGAGTACCTAAAGACTCAATAACTTCTAAAACAGTAGTACGATTTATGACCGAAACAAACATATAACAGCCCAATAACTTCCCTGTACCATGTCTTAAAATAAAATGTTAGACATTCGCGGTTTGTGGGCGTTGCGTAAGAAAACCTAGAATCTACTTGTCAAATCCCAAATCTGTAGCTTTTAAAGTTTTTGAGATCTCAACGTTAATGCGGACGGACAGACAGACGGACAGGGCTAGATCGACTCGGGTGTTGATCCTGATTCAGAATATATATACTTTATGTGTTCGGAAAAGCTTCCATCTGCCTGTTACATACTTTTCAACGAATACAATAATACCCTTTACTTCTACAAGTAACGGGTATAAATAAAGTAGCCTTTTTTAGTATTCGGAAAATATATCATTCTTGTAAAATATAATTTTTGTTGCTTACATTCGTTTAGCGGCTGGGACTCGATATGTACCTGCAAATTCAGAATTTCCCTCTCTATTACCAGCTTGGGGAAAACTATGTGAACTATTGACCTCTCGCTCTCTTTCACAACAGGGAAATATGTGAAAACAAGGCTATAACTGATGACCAAGCTGAAACTTTTTAGCTAACTACTTGTAAAATTATTCTGTAGGATATACCAATTTTTTAGTGATGTGGTCAATTTTGCCTTAAACGACGATGGTAATGGATCCTATCATGCCTTGTTAAATTATGTCGTTTCAATTCGAATAAAGTTTAGCTTTCAAAAATAACCAGTTAATAAGTTGGGACGACAAAATATTCACTTAAATTTGTAATCATATTCAGAAACACCTAAATTAAATATGTTATTATGCACAATACTTACTTATCTATTCAGAAATCCGGCTATATGTGTATATTATGTTTATGAACCTAATATAATCGAGGGGCTTTAAAAGTCAGTAAGAAAGTGTTGTTTAAGTTCAAGGCGAAAAAACCCTTGAGAAATCTTCGAAATGAAATGTTTCTTAATATTCCTTAATGGGGTAAAATTGTTGGGTTTCAACACAAACCATTTAGATGTTTTTCAAAGCATAACAAACTATATTTTTTTTTTTGTTGGCTAGTTCAAAGTCTATCATTTATTGCAATTATTCTTACCGTTGGCCGTTTAACAATCCAAATTGCTCCAGAAACGTTGGAGTCAAACTATGTATGTAGGTTCACTAGAACTTTATAACGACAGCGATATTCCAATGTTTGAGAACATTTTGAAGAGAATTTGTATATTTGCTTCTTCGCTTTCTCTTTCCAGCTTGTGTGTATATTGGATAGATCATTGGAAAGGGGTATGCATCGTTTTGACATTTATTTAGTAGTTTGTTTTATTTATCTAAATTTTTAGTTTTTAATTGTATCGGATTTTTATTCAGAAAGGCATGCTAAAATAATGCCCGTGATCGGGGGCCACTCGAAATCTCTATAAAAACCTTGGTGGTCCAGAATTGTATGTCCCGGAATGTTGTGGATGTGATGTTGGCGATGGCGATGGCTGTCCCTGCCGCAGCAGTTCAAATGGCGAATTCGATCGCTGCATGAAATGGTGATAGTTGTTTGTTGGCAGTTGGTGCTTCAAAAACAAAGTAAACAATTTCATTTTTAATTTCATTTAGGAGTGCTGTACAACTTACCTGTATATTCCGCAGAGTCATTGAGCCGACAGCACTTCCAATTATGTGAGGACTGGGGCCATCGCCTAAATCCAATTGCAAGCTCTCGGACATGTCGTTGTTGCTGCTAACAGCGCGTCCGCCCATGTTGCTGGCGCATCCGCCGGCCCCGTTGTTGGTCAGGTGGAGCTGACCCAGCGAGGCGGTGGCCATCGCCACGTCCGGCATCATTTCGGACAGATGGCTGTTGGCCGCGTCCAGGCCACAGGCGCCGCCCTCGGCGCCCATGTCCAGTCCCACCAGCCCGTTGCCGTGCGGGAACCGAAAGTCACCCTCGGTGATCAGGGCTGGTAGATCGTTGCGCTGGTGTGCCGCCGCCGCCGCCGCTGCCGCCGCCGTGAGACGCGAGTAGCTGCACTGTAGCGTTGGCCCCGATCCGGAACCCGATCCGGAGCCCGATCCCGATCCCGAACTGGATCCAAACGCATTGGCCACACCGATCAGGCCGTTCGAGTGGTGACGTGGAAAGGTGAGATTTCGACTGTAGCAGGGATGGACTGCATCGTTGCCGCACGACGTGGCCGCCGATGAGGAGGAGCCGCCGCCGCCGCCGCCGCCACCGCCGCCAAGGGGCGACAGGAATGCCGATGGCACGGCAGTGTGTCGCGGAACGGAGCAAGTGGCCGCCGGCGAGGGTGGCGGACTTTGATCCTCGTCCTCGAGCAGGGAGTCATCCTTTTGCGAGGTCGACGCACCGCCCGTCTCCTCGGCATGGTTGTCGTTCCGGCCCTGATGGTTGCTCTGCAGAGCGATCTCTAGCAGGTCGGACACCTCGTCGGGCAGATTGAACTCCCTGACCACCCGCAGCCGGATTTGCCGATCGATTTCGCTCTTCGAGGAGAGCGGCAACAGCAGAGCCCGCTGGCACATGGGCGACTGGCGCAGCTTGTGCTCCCGCTTGCGCATGGCCAGCAGTGTTTGGTTGTCCGGTGGCGGAATCACGGCGGCGCCCACTAATATATC